ATATACTCTGCTATATGCTCTATATACAGCATATGCTCTGCATGTAGTATATTGCCTTCAATGAGAGTCTTATAATCGGGTCGTGAGATTTGAACTGTAGTAACCAGAAAGAAGTTTGCTATGCTTCCAAGTTTTATATGGATAAGCTCTGAGTGTTGAGTATGCGATACCGACACTGCACAATGGTCCAATTCGTTCCAAGTTTCTACGCTCACTCATGGGCAACTTCTGCAAGTACGCCGAGACAAAATTCCACATTGAACTCATATTGCCAAGTTACGATTGTCCCACCTCCTGGAATTTCGCATCCTCCCTCACATATCTCGAAATACTAGTCGGGCTTATCTCGAAATTGAACCGCTGCCGTAACAGCCTTCCTATCTCCGTGAACCGAGTAGTGGGGGATCTTCTTAACACTTCAAAAATGAAGTCTCCGTACTCAGAAATTTTCCGCTTTCGCTCGGCAACTCTGCCGCCCTTCGGCAAGGAATTCGTCCTGCCCGACTTCACCCAAGTGCGAGCGGTGCCTATCTTCACCCCCAGCGCGCAGGCGACTTCCCGCCAAGCGTTGCCATCCCGGGCTGCTTGGACGACTTGTGCTCGGGTGGATTTGGGATAGGATTGGTATTGGCCCCTTCTCTTTGGGTGTCGATTTTCCATAGTTGACATCAGAGTGAGAACGTAAAGATAAATATGCAAATGTGAAAGAATGTGTGTGTTTTCTATTCCGGGATTAATGATAGTGAACAACTTGTCGCTATCATAGTCTCGAAAGGTTACTTTTATCACATCACATGTTCATAGCAATGTTTACATTGTTTATGCGATATAGTTTCAGATCGATTCTTATTAATCTCGGAAAATAACACACATTTGCATCATATCAAATTGACACACACTGTATACCACTTTCACCCATCATTATCGTCCCCAGTGAGCAGTCGTGTATTTCCGATCGGCGTCTTATAGCATTATAAACATCACATTAGCATGGCGTGACCAACCCATACGAGACTTATTCCACTGGATGGTGAGAGTCTCATTTTGGGAATCATCACCTATAATGTTCCCAGGAGGAACTCGAACTTTTGCATTCTCCACATGACTAGGGGCGCATTCTTCAATCAGTTTCCCATGTAAATATCTTCACACTAGTAGCATATTCCCCCTATTATCAAACCCTGGAGAACGTCTTCTCTCAAAACAGAAATGAGTCCCAACCAAACTCCTCACAGCTATTTCCCACTTACTCCCACGTCGGATCTCAAATGATTTGATTAACAACTAGAGACAATAGTTGATATCCAATTAGCCCCCATTAGAAGCAGTTAATTGTCCAATAATGCTATGCGCTTCATCATTATCATCATCACCATGCACAATATCTGACATGACTTTCACGCACCCCAGAGGAACTCCCAGGGAACACCTTCGCCCGTAGGAATCCACACAGTGAGTCGAGCTGCATGCCGCACGTACCAAATACAAGATAGTATTTTCACCCACGAGCTCAGTCTTGTCATGTTCACCTGATTAAATCACCGAGATGGTCAGCAACAAGCCTGTGTAGATCTTTTCGGCAACTTATCTTCTTATGCATATCGCTCTGCTATGCACGGCTTGTATATATTCCGAGGCGAGGCCTTTCTTACGCAGTGTGGGAAAGATATGCATATGTGTTGTTGATAATATGAAAATTCTGAGAAAATTTTGTGAAATTATGATTGGTCCTAGTACACTTCTTCCCGAATACGTATGACTACTGAGGAAACTTCTGCACTCACCTATGAAAGCGGACATATTTTTCGACACTGTTCGCGCGTGTTGAGCTGAATGTTTGCCAATCCTACCGACCAGCATAACAATCATGCGATGGAGGTACTCGATCGAGCCTCCACTCGCATAGCCCCGTCATAAGTATAGCTGCATTCATAAAAGTCGATCAGCGGTAAATATAAGTTTCCAAACGAATATTTTTACTATGTTTCACCACAGTTTTCACCCCAATTCCTCACAATTTCTCAGAAAATTACCTCCTCCATAGCGTTCGCCTGTATTTCATCTCTGAGTGTCCGTAATAGTGGCAGAAATATACGTAAGAGCTCAATTCGATACTTCATACCACTCCATGCCGACATCGTAGGTGCATCAATCGAACCTAGTCATGTCTAATGGCGACTCAGAGCAGCGACAAGGATGATACTACTTGTGAAACCAAAGGCCCTCTGACGCGCCACACCAACCTCATGTCGACACCTACTGATGCGGGTCCGAGCATCATCGATGAACTCTGCTAAAGATGATGATGATTTTTCCTGAACATTGGGTATAGCATATGTTCTAGCGACCACTTATGCGATGTGCCCCTGTTGTAACACAATAATTGTCCCTATTTTGTCGTATTCATTATTGCTCAGCTCCTCACACAATTCGCTGTAACCTTATAGTTTCTTCTATCCACTAACGATAGTATCTTTGTTGAGTTCTGGAGTACGACAACTCATTAGTCCATGAAATCATGAACATCTACTTCGACGAAGAAATGAATAGGAAACTCTCCGGGAAAACCGAACAAGATCTCTCCAGACTTCCTAAGTGGACTAGTGTTGACCATCGGAATAGAGATAGTACGAACTTGAGCTCAGCACTAACGACTCTACTGAGAGCCATAGGCAGACCCCTGGATGCCATCCCTCACCCAGCGTGTCACCAACAAGGTCCCTACCTCTTCCTTATTGATAATATTCGCCGTGTCACCAACGAGCGATCCCTCCATCGCCGCCGCTACTCTGGGTACCGCCGAAGATACGACTACCCCTAACCATCATACAACATTATTTTACGAAGGGGACTTCAGTCAATCTTAAAAAATGACTCAGCCGCGCGCCCCCCGACGTTGGCTCTAGATACAAGTATTAAGTGCTAGAAATCCCAACATTGGAGAGGGGGCGAGGAGAGCGTTGAGTTTTATTATGTTCAACAAACTCTTTCACTACTCAATAGCTCACTACTGTTATTCTGTCAGATCTAAATACCCATGGTGATCAGTTTATCTATTTTCCATCCTTACTAGCACGCACGCGCATAATAAAGACGTACAATTTTCGAATGTGCATTTTTCCAGCGAAAGAAAAAATACGAATAAAACACCGTCAAGTATACTTATTTATTGTATTCTCCTCGTGTCACACAGTGTTACCATCTCCAAAAATTTTTCTCGCCAAAACATACAGGACTTTTACCTTTATTTCGACGGCGCCCCTTCTCACAGTCTTGCTTGTCCTCCACCTTCGTAGATTTCGCCGCAGTTTCTCTCCGATAGGAAGGCCTGAACCAGACACTTCACATTCATAAATTATGAACCAAAGCCTGATTATAGCCATTGTATGAGTCACAAATCGAGACCGTGAGCTCCTTATAATAGAAAAGACATTTCTATGTAGAGACAGCAATAGCGATGATAAGCGCAACACGAAATACGTCCACACGAGAGCACTGACTATGATACTCTCATTGAGCTCGTGCGACGGATGAACGAAACAATACCGAGGCCAACATTCATATGATATATCACTGAGTAAATCCAAATCGTTGCTCACCATTAGAAAACGGCACCGCATTTGAGGTTTCGAAGTGGCTATAGCAACCGTATATAAGGGTAATTCATGCATGTTGCTTCTGATGCATTTATTTATATTATCAATGCATCGAATGCATCATGATATCATTATAAATTTTATAATTGTCGTGAAATATATTTTTCATATCACTAGGGCTGTGAAACTCCATTGAATGCATTCACGACTTGATTTATGCCTAGTATAAATTTTTATAATAGACATAAACCAAGTTTCACCCTGGTGATATCAAAAGTATATTTCACGACTACTGCATCTCACCGCGAATATCACCGAGTATTACGCCACTTCACGTAAAACGGGTTGCGAAACTCCATTGAATGTATTCACGACTTGATTTATGCCTAGTATAAATTTCTATAATAGACATAAACCAAGTTTCACCCTAGTGATATCAAAAGTACATTTCACGACTACTGCATATCACCGAGTATTTCACCACTTCACGTAAAACGGGTTGTGAAACTCCAATATATTTTTCATGAAGATAACAAAGAACCCGATTCCGCGTGCTAAATCACCGTTAATCGACCCATACCCGAGATGGCCTTCACTACCGATCGATCTTCCTCTCCAGCTTGTCAGCCGTCAAAGCTTCTCTCGCCCTACTTAGCATCATCTCAACTGGGTCTTCAACAACATCCTTTTCCTCAGGATGTGGTTTCTCAGCAGTTATGATTGCACATTGCTGTGGTTGGTCAGTAACAATCTCTGTAGTGCTAGGAGGCTCGGGAACTTCAACTCTGGCGGTCGCGCGTAATCTGGCGAGGTCGCTAATGATTGATTCCGCAGCCTGAGGAATTGATGATAAATATTGACAAATGTCGTTGACCGATACAATTTGAAATTTTGTGAGAAATGCATTCTAATTATTGCACAATACTAATAATGGAGTTTAATCAATCACGCTCAGTTGCACAACAGTGGTGGGTGTTGGGATACGAGTTTGACGAGCTCAGCGGAGAGCGTGGTCCATCCCAGATCCACCACCCATCATAATATGGAGTGAGCGAAGACTCTTTATGTCCTACCACTGTTGAGCAACTAAGATTGATCTGACTTTAGTCTATGGAAAAGCAATGGCTGAGGAGTATTCGATCATTTTGACCGACATTGTACAGGTAGTTGTGAAAATTTCGGTTGCAATCCTAACCTCATTATTGAAGTTTCACCCGTTTAACGTGAAGCGGCGTAATACTCCATGTGAATGATAATACGTATATGTTTCCGCGACCGATAACACTAACATTGTTTTTCGCGAAGTGAAATATGAAATAATATGTTTTTCACTAGTGTTTTTCATATCACAGATGAAACTCCAGTAGTATTATTAGAGTAATAATACTATTATAAAGTAGCGCAACTGATCACATTATTATTAATAAAAATAATGTCATTTCACTTCATATTCTTGGGATTGCAGTCACAGTTGAAAATACCTCGAAAATTTTACGATAAAAATTTCCCTGTAGGATTTTTTCCGAGAATATGAAAAAAATAGAATATTGAAAATGAATTATCAAAATATATTTAAAATATTTTTATGAATAGGAATTTTCATCTAATAAAATAAAATTACAATATCATGGAATCACCGATGATGAGCATCCACATGGGAATGAGCGCTGTAGATGACCTCAAAGGGAAAACATGTTGAGCCGCTGAAATACTCAATTTTACAATGGAGTTTCACTCGTTTTACGTGAACTGGTCTAAAACTCCGTAAAAAACGCGATATTCACACTACGCAGTAGCCGTGAAATATGTTTTTCATATCGCGGGTGAAACTCCAATAATGTCCGATTTAGTTTCGCTTTATCAAGTTAGCAACAATCCCCATACCACACCTTCAACTCATCGTAATCATCTCTGATCTGCCCAAGAGGCCCACGTCCATCTGCTAGGGTAATGGCAATCTCACTTAATGCTCTCAGAAGGTCATCGTCAACAAACATACTGCACTTTACTCAAAAGTCGCTGCATCAGCGCAATAGTAGCGCTCGACCTTCCTGCATCTGCATGAATCAGCAGTTTCATGATTCATGTGGTCTCGCCATTTCTATTGCTCTATGATTGGTCTGAGCATCTCCATTGTGGCACGAGTGATTGCTGTTATCTCACTCAGTTCAGTTTATTCTGTTCTTCCTTGCCCTTGCTATTGGGCTCGTCACTCTCTCTCTGGCTCTATACTGTCGTCCTTGCGTCTGTCTTCACCTACTGCTGCCTGGTTGAAGACTACCTTCAGTATATCCTGCAACTACCCTATTATTGCTACATCTCTACTAGTTATTGGGTGTTGAGTCAGAGACGTCCATCGCAGTGTTACCAAGCACTGCTATTATCATCCGAGAAACTACTCTTCAACGAACTATCTATCTATTTGGTTTATGAACTTCAACCCAGGTCATCGTGTTTCACCAAGGTTGCATCGACAGCAACCCATGCTGGATCCCCAGCCTGCTTCTACAAGGTCTACTGATCCACCCCAAGCTCTTCCTAGAGCTGATGGCGTACAGCCGGTCCAAGTGTCTTCTGGCGAAGATAACCCCTCGCCTGTTCAGAGTCCTACCACTGGCGGTAGACCTGGACAGGAGGGTGCTGCTGCTTCAAGTGGTTCACAGCCGAGGTCTCTACTCTATATGTCCGATCATCAGCAAGGAGAGTTCAGCCTTCTAAGTCCCTCTCCTACGGAAGTGGATAATGCCGCTCTACCGGTCAGCCGACACTTCGGCCTTGACAGTTCTCCGGAGTCAAAGCCGTCCGAGACTTTCGATCGTCGAGGCCTTCCCGAACAAGCTTCTTACCAGGTCCACTATAACTATTCTGCTCCGCCATCCAAGACTCCATCCCCGGCGCCGCTTTTACGTCCAAGGGTGGAGCAGCCTTCGTTGGTACAACAGAAACCCCAATGCGATGTTGTGGACCGACACCCTCCCCAACCAGCCGGCCAGCCTGGTCATATCAATGCTCTGTTCCAGCAGTTCTGCGACTTCATGGCGTCTCAGAACTGCTCACCTACGGCACCTGCAAACTTCGGCCCGGTTGGCATTGAGAGGCAACCTGCGGCGTCTATCATCGACTTACCTTCTCCGCCTGCTCCGACCCTCTCTGCCCCGAAGCCGATGGTCGCTAATACCACTCCGCAATTCGGCCCGACGGGTAACAACATCGTCCTTGCTGATGCTGACGACAACATACGGAGCATTGAGCGGAGTATTCTGGCGGATATCAATGACCGTCGAGGACGTCCGACCCCCGGAGATAGTTGGGCACAAGAAAGGTCGAGAATGGCTGCAGCCTCGGCCAAGGGTCCACCGGGGGGAAGTTGGCGAGGTCCAGCGGACGTGACGGAGGTCAGAAGTCTTGGGGACTTCCTACATGAACTTGAATGCTCCTCAATGGTGTTCCGATTGGGAACGGACAGCTTTAGGTTTATTTACCTCTTCGAGAACTTGGGTACCCATGTTGCCCTTCAACTAAGCCTGAAGTTGGAGTCTACCTACGGTGCTATTGGTAATATCCCCCATGGTCGTCAGTATGAAGCAGCAGTGGCCGCTTTGCGATCGATCTACACGTCGGTGCAGGGTAACGACGATAGTTCTGTCCTTAATCGGTGGTATATCCTCAATGCTGCTGACTTCCCTACCTACCAACTTTTTGAGGAAGAGTTCACCACCTTACTAGCTCAGCTCCGACGACGTGGCCATCTACTTCCGGTATCACAGGCCAATGGCCGCTTGCTCGCGGCTCTGCCATCAGGAGTGCGTGCCTGGGCATCCGACCACCTCTCTCTAATGCTGGACGAGAACGAGTTCCAACGTCGAGTGCGGGTCCATTGCGTTAACCACGGCATTGGAACGGGATGGAGCACTTTGAAGCCAGGACATTGGGTCCTGGATAAGCACGGTCGGTATGTTAAGAAGCTCACCTCATGCTCTACGGCAGTGTGCACTTCCGGCCCGTCAGCTAATACTCTCCCTTCCGTGGCTACTGTTCACGAGACTACCTGGTCTCAGAGTACTCCTCCTGCTGTTCACCCTGGTTTGCCCCCTACTTCGGTGCCTTCGGCCTCGGTAAGTTCGCCTCAAGTCCTCGCGGCAACTACGGCTGTCGGTGACAAGTCATCTAGCGTTGCCATTGATGGTGGTCCTAAAGGCCAACGGCGTCCTGGCAATGCTCCTGGCCAGAAGAGGCCAAAACTCACTTGCTATCGTTGTCGTGATCAAACAGGTGGTCATTCTTTCAACGACTGCCCAGCCTCTTCCCCCGACTGAAATCGACAAGCGTTGCCGCAAGTGTGGACTTCACCGTCACAAGACTGAGCAATGTGACAACCGCATAGTTGCGGCTGGTATTCCTTGCGGTCGCTGTCTGCAAGCTGGCCATCTTGCTTTCATATGCCCTGCCGAGAAGCCCCGCAAGCTCCCCGTCCAGTCTAATGCTACGCTGCTTGCTGATGCAGCCTCTTTGGTGCCTGGTATAACGGTTGATATGTACGAGCCAGCTGAGTCTTTGGGGTGTATTGATACACCAGCTCCTGCTGGTCCTGGTGCTCTCTGTTCTTCTATCAAGGTGGTATCTGAGATGGGTCATGAGAATCCGGTATCAGTGGCCTGTCTGTTGGATACGGGTGCCAGCTGTAACTTCGCTCAGCTTTCGGTGGCCAATCGTCTGGGACGAGTGGTGACATTACCATCTCCGAAGCCTTTTCGCGTGGCCAACAAACAAACCTTCTTCGCCACTCAAGCTGTCCAACTCACGGTGCTGACCATTAGCTCTCGTATCAAGCTGGACTTCCTAGTGGTGTCAGAGCTGACCACTCCCCTGGTCATCGGTATGCATGGTCTTTCAGCCCTGGGGATGATGATATGGATATCTCCTGGAGCTTGCTCGGTCAGAACTGGTATCGGCCCGTTACAGTGGCACCAAGTTCAAGAAAGCCTAGCCAAGCATCGTCGACAGCCCTCTAAGAAGAGTGCTGGGACACAGGCCGATGACGTTACCCGGCCAACCGACTTGCTTACTCTGGTAGACAACCCTATCCGGTATGCTGAAGCTCTCGACAGCCACCACCACTGTGACGTTTTCCCCTTCTCTGGGGCACCCGAGTGTCTAGCCGGTCTATCCCCTGCTATCAGTGATCTACAGTCTGATGACAGCCCAATCCTTAGCCAGGCTTATGACCTGTCCGAACCCAAGGTGGATACTCCATCCTCTACTGATGAGGGCACTACTCAGGTGATGGACTTCGACCTGCCCTATAGTGAGCTGTACTCTCAAGGGCCTAAAGATCTGCTCGTCTCGGTCGACAAGGGTTCTATGGTACTCAAGAATGGGAAAGTCATCATTGCTCGCCGTATGACCATGCAGCTGCCCTTCATTGGTGCTGGTCGTACTCCACCCTTTCGGTTGAGGCAGCTCATCCGCCGTGACTTGGCCCTGCTCAGCCGATTGCAGCAATCGGGTCATCTCGAGATTTATGACGGTCTTCTGGACTCCTTCAAAAAGGCCCGCTATATTCGGCCCGTGACGACCAGTGATGTCGAGGCCGATCTAAGTGACTCCTACTACATGCCTCACTTCCCAGTGTTCACTACTTCCAAGACCAGTCCGTGCCGTCCGGTGTGGTGTGGTAACGAGCTCTCCTCCTACCTCTGTCGCGGTTATATCTCAGATGTGGAGGCTACCATTATCAGTTCATGGATGGCGCTGCGCACTAGCCCTTTCTATGCGACCACAGATCTCAGCCGTGCGTTCTATTCGCTCAAGGTCAAGAAAAGTGATCGCAAGTACCAGCGCTTTATCTATCGTGGATCTGCCTTTGAGTTCGCCGTTGTCATGATGGGATTGCGTCCCAGCCCGGCCATGCTTATGCGAGCATTGCGTCCTATCGCTTCTCTGGCAATGTACATATTGACGTTTCTCTTCGGTGACCCCGGTCCGCAGGGATCCGCTATCGATCCTGCTTTTGTTCGGCCCGGACCGATCACTCGCCACTTTGCCACCTACGGAGACTTCTCCAGTTACAATACGGCGCTATCCTGGTTGCGTCTGTTCCTGGATGATGCTACGCTGACGGCTAAAACAGAGACTGCAAGATCGACGGGCATCGAGGTCTTCAGAGGAGTCGCCAGATACTTTGGTTTCCTTTGTGAGGAAGACAAAGAGAGCGATGACACTAGTGCTAGCGTAGTGAAGCATTTGGGTGTCCTGATCCACCACGGCTCCCTTATATCACCGGTCCGCGTGGCACCCCTATCCTCTCTACCGGAGACCTCCTTCAGCGAGCTTGGCGAAGACACTCTCCTTAGTCTTGACCATGCTCCTGCACTCTCACTGGAGCACTTCACTCATATGGATGCACTTTCCTTCTGTGGCCTCGACAATCTCTCGGACCTGGGCGTGACCCCTCGGATGGTTGACTCATGGTTACGTCAATTCTTCGATCCGATGGGGCTTTGGCTGGAGCTTATGCTACGTGGTCGACTTCTACATCGTAAACTCTCCTCTGTAGTGACGTCACCCGATTCTACTGTGCATGACGTTGCTCTTCTGACGGAGCTAGTGGGCCTTTACCGTGCCCTCTCTAGTGTGCCGAGAGTTTCCCGTTACCTTTCCGGCCCGTTCTTCATCACTGTCGACGCTAGTAAGGAGATCATTGCCGTCGTGGTCTGCGACAAGCTTGGGACACGGCTTTTCGCTCGAGCTCAAGTCATCCCTTCGGCCCGTCTATCTTGGACCATAGTGAGACAGGAGCTTACGGCTATTCTCCTCGGTGTTGAAGTGGGCACCTTCCTCTCCAGCCTCGGTGTGAAGGCTCGGTATATGTGCACGGACAGTCTCATCAACCTCGCTCGTTGTACTGCCAGCAAGTTTCGTACAAAAGGCTTACCAGCGTGGGAGATTCTGAACATCCATAAAGCGCGTGAGGGATTGGTCAAGCTGGGACTGTCGCTACATCATATACCTGGTCGATTCAACCCCGCTGATGGCCCTACTAGATCTCGTGTTATCGATCTAGGTCCTCATCTAGAGAAGGAGCAACTGCAATTCTTTGAGGACCTTCTACGTCAGCCGCACCGCCCCCTTCGATTCTGGAGTACTGCCGAGATTACTTCAGAGGTCGCCGAGGGCCCGGAGGATGTAGATATTGCGTTGCTGTCAGCTGCTACTGATGACCCTCCGCCCCCTGCACCTGAGGTTCCCGAGGGCTTCTCCAATGACCTATTGGCTAGGATTCGCTCTGAGCAGCAAGATGATCCCCTATGCAAGAATATTGTCCGAGTCTTCTCTGGGAGCTGTTCCGACTTCACTGCGAGCTATATTCGAAACCTCAGGAAGTTCTTCAACATCGATGATGATGGCCTGGTTCTCCGCACCGTCGAAGCCCCTGATGGAAGACCTACCATTGTTGTCCCCTCCACCTTGGCCAGTGAAGTGATTGAAGCGGTACATGTATGTGCGAGTCATCCTGGTCGTGACCGAACTCGTCAGTTGGTGTCCCGTTATTTCTGGTGTAAGGGTCTCTTCAAGTTAGCCAACCGTATCGTATGCTCATGCGATACCTGTAGGCGTACGAAGAGCACTAGGCTGCACCGGCATGCCCTTGGACGGGCTCGTATCCGATCCTCACTTCCAGGTGAGCTGCTTGGGATTGACTTGCTGGTCTACAATTCGGTCTCTACTGATTCCCTCAAGCTGAGCCCATGGAGTGCCGAAGTTGACACTGCCCTGCAGAGCGTCGGTAACCCTCGCAGTGATGGCCTTGCTGACTCTTTGCCGACACCTAAGTATATCCTGATGGTCATATGTGCGGCAACCTACAGGATATGGACTCGCACTCTCTGCACCAAGTCTTCGGCCGAAGTTGCGACGGTTCTCGGTGAGCTCTTGGATGAGATTTCGCCCAGTGTCTGCCTGGTTGACGGTGGGAAAGAATTCGCCAATTTGCTTGTACGTGGGATGTTCGTGGCCAGAGGCATTCACCTGCTGATGTTGCCTCCATTCTCGCCCAATTTGGCCTTCTACGAACGCTGCCACAAGGAGTATCAAAATGGGTTGAGAGCCATGCTGCTGGAGACCAATTCACCGGCTTGCTACTGGTGGAAGTTTCACAGCCTGTGTACCAGGCTGTTAGCAGATAAAGACGATTGATGATGATATTGTATTATGTTCTGAACTCTGAGCTAGAGCTACCATTCGTATATCTCCTTTTGCACGTTAGCTATAGCTTGCTTTTCGTAGCTTCTTTTGTTATTGCTGCCCCGGGAGAATAGTAGCGCTCGACCTTCCTGCATCTGCATGAATCAGCAGTTTCATGATTCATGTGGTCTCGCCATTTCTATTGCTCTATGATTGGTCTGAGCATCTCCATTGTGGCACGAGTGATTGCTGTTATCTCACTCAGTTCAGTTTATTCTGTTCTTCCTTGCCCTTGCTATTGGGCTCGTCACTCTCTCTCTGGCTCTATACTGTCGTCCTTGCGTCTGTCTTCACCTACTGCTGCCTGGTTGAAGACTACCTTCAGTATATCCTGCAACTACCCTATTATTGCTACATCTCTACTAGTTATTGGGTGTTGAGTCAGAGACGTCCATCGCAGTGTTACCAAGCACTGCTATTGCGCGTTGTAGTTAGCGCTCGCCATCATGATCGATATTGAATTTTGAACCAATCTTAATGACAGTCGGGGGGAAATTCGGCGGCTGTTCGTTGAGCGGAGTTCCTCTTGAGAGAGGGCGACTTCAACTTAGAATCTGTCTCATCTAGTTGGGGAAACATAAATTCTAGTTTCAGTCTCAACTTCACGAATTTCTCAATTTCATTTTTTCTCTTTCTCCAATATGGATATAAAATTGTGGATATTATTATTATAGTAGTATATACTCATAAAATATGTTAATTAACGATAAATATAGGTTCATAAAGTACCTAACATAATTATATAATATCACACCATGCAATAGGTACTTTAGACCAGTTTCGTCACCTCTCCATGTTGACCTCACTTACGTTGAATCGGTCGCTTTCCATACTAGGAAATTCAGCGGTTGCTTTTGCTCTTCGTGGATTTGCTACTGGCAAGTTCGTGAGGACCAAACCTCATTTAAATTTGGGGACAATTGGTAAGCAACTTCATGATGAAGTTGCTACCTATTCATATCAGGTCACGTTGATCACGGTAAGACTACTCTTACTGCAGCTATCACTAAAATACTCAGCGATAAGGGGCTGGCGGACTTCCAAACGTATGAGGCTATCGATCGAGCACCTGAGGAAAAACGACGAGGTAAGTCTAAATATTCTTTCGATGATTCTATACAACATTGGGGTTATTACTGGCCACATTATGTTCGGCTAACATTGACACTATCTTAGTAACAGTTTTAGATAGTTTTCAATGATTAGTATTTGTCAGTTTGATAGTCTTCGAAAATTACTAGGGGCAATTTACTCCTAATATTCCCATGTGGTTTCATCACTATATTTGTCGAGCTAGAAGGTTTCTTTTGCGGATGAGTCATACCATTACTCGGGTGAAACTCCAATAATAATAATATGAAAAACACCAGTGAAAAATATATTCCACGACTACTGCATATCACCGCGAATATCGTATATCGTTTTTCGAAGAGTATCACGCCGCCTCGGGTGGAACTCTATTGTCAATTTGACAGTTTTAGAGAATTACTCTTAAAAGTGCCATGTAGTTTCCTCCTATGAGCCATACCATACCTTCCACACATCTCTGATCTTCATCTGTTGCCTATTAAGGTATCACAATAAACCAAACTCACGTTGAATATTCAACCGACAAGCGACATTACGGTCACGTAGACTGCCCCGGCCACGCTGATTACGTTAAAAATATGATCACAGGAGCTGCTCAAGTCGACGGAGGTAATGCCACGAAATTCCCCATTTCGTTACCTCAATTGGAATTCAGCCATCCTCGTCGTGTCGGCTTTCGACGGTCCCATGCCCCAGACTAGAGAGCACATTCTTCTGGCTAAGCAGATCGGAGTGCCGAGGTGAGACATCGTTGGAGTTTTACATATCGTGATATGAAAAAACACACTAGTGAAAAATCCAGTTCATATTTTACTTTGAAAGAAAAACCGCACGCCACATACTAGCATTGATTTTTTTACGTCAAATGAGGTGATTTTTCTGATGCAATTAGCGAAATATTTTTCACATTTTTTTTCATGCCACTTCTGGTGAAACTCCATCATATTCGTTCGATTCGCTCGCACCTTCTGGAGGATGGAGGGGGAAGATGAGCATATGATCAACTACATGTGTTTTGGTGACAATATGGAAATTCTGAGGAATTCTCGTTGGTTTTTGTACAATTCTTTTCGAATTAAGTATGTTAAGTGAACACACTTAGACATACATAGAGTTAACATTGTTAACTCTCGAGCTGATGAAAGGAAGCACATATTTCAACGCTGAGGATAGCAAATGATCCGCTTCTAAAGCTTCAAAGAGAGCTTGCAACTACACTAGACTGTCTGGTGTAGTGTATGGACAGTCTGAGTATTATATATTTGTTTCCTAGTATTACATATATTTTTTATAGCAATTTTCCGCTTTTTGTTTTTGATGACTTTGATTACAAACGTGGTGTTTCATCATACTCGATGATGATCGCGGATGATCGTTTCACGTGAAAAAATGATATTAACGGTGATATGCAGTAGTCGTGAAATATATTTTTCAATAGCGTGAAACTCCACTGTATTATCATCAACATTTTCGGAATTTTCTCATTTTTTCGATCAGTTCATGCTGGCATGCATTTCAGATTAGTAGTGTTTCTTAATAAGATGGACCAAGTTGACGACCCTGAACTAGTCGAGCTCGTCGAACTCGAAGTTAGAGAGCTTTTGGAGTTTTATAAATATCCTGGTGAGTTTTAATTTCTAGGGTGTCATAGTTATAATGGAGTTTCACAACCCGTTTCACGTGAAGTGGCGTGAAACTGCGATATTTGAGGTGATATGCAGTAGTCGTGGAATATGTTTTTCACTAGTGTTTTTCATATCACTAGGGTGGTGAAACTCCAATATATACTATTAAAGTTATGTTTGCGCAGAGTGGATCGGCGTTATAATTTTCAAGGACAGCAATTGCTTTTAAGAAATTTGTTATTTATATTTTATGATATTATTGGAGTTTCACCCTAGTGATATGGAAAAAACTAGTGAAAAACATATTTCACGACTACTGCATATCACCGCGAATATCGCGTTTTTCACCGAGTTTTACGCCACTTCACGTAAAACGGGTAAAACTCCATTGATATTATTCATTTATTTTTATCTTCTCAGCGGTTAAAAACCCATGCAGAAACCTATAATATTCCCGGGGGGGACTCATTTTGAATTTTCATATTCTTCAATCAGTTTCCAATGTAAATTTTTATCACACGCGATATCTCAAAGTTGAACGAATCCCTGCGTTGATAATCTCTGTTGAGCTCAGGAGAAGAAACGCCATTTGTGAAAGGATCAGCGTTGAAGGCCCTGAGGGGAGAGGAAGGCGAATACGGCAAGGAGGCGATATTGAAGCTGATGGACGCAGTTGATGAGTATATACCTGAGCCACGTAACATGGGGTTTCACATCAGTGTTGATAGTAGTGAATATTATTCACTATCTATAATATATGTAGTATACATCTCGTAGAGTTTTCATGATTGAATTTTCCTCACAAGCTGGCAAACGCGTCGGAAAGAAACCTATCATATGATATCTACGTGGAGGGTTGTGGGGACCTTTTTAGTCGGATCTACACCTTCACATGTGAGTTGGTTTTAGTGTATATAGTAGAGCTCGTTTCGGAGCAACGATACTCTTATGCTGGCTATTAGCTGTCTGCTGAAAAAAGTGCTGTTCTGAGAAAAATAAATAATGTTCTTATAATGAGTATTAACACTATATATAAGAATTACATATTCACTGAATAGGATTAGGGTATATAGTTTTGATAAGGTATACCGGAGTTTCACAACCCGTTTAACGTGAAGTGTTGTGATACTCCATACTCGTTATTCTTCGTAGTATCGTGAAATATATTTTTCACCAGTGTTTTTCATATCACGGTCGTGAAACTCTCATTTACACTATTTATTATATACTATTACACGGCTTTATATTAACTGTTTGTGGTTAAACTGCTCCCTACTAATCTATGTGTACGAATCTACTCCTAACAATATTCACTTTATATTTCAGCGCGACTTCAGGACAAACCGTTTTTGCTGCCAATTGAGACAGTGGTCAACATTCAAGGAAAAGGTGAGGAAAATTTTCAGATTTTTTTCGGGAAAATTTCCTGGCAGGTTATGTTGTTACTGGACGAATAGAGCAAGGATTGGTAAAGGTTGGGGATGCCTTGGAGATTGTCGGACAGGTCAGTAGCGAAATTATGGGCGCAATTATTTGCTCACACTTGCTGTTGAATTACCTTTGATAGGCTCACTGACTAAGAGTATGACCGCCTTACTTCGTTCAACATTATTTCTAAACGTTTCCCTACCGAGTTTGAGAGAAAATGAAAATTTCGAATTTGTCACGAGAGAGAAAAAATGCTCTTCACACGCTGTTGAACTACGACCGTTTGAAAGCTCTACTGGATGGAAATATGATCGTTCTACTTTAGTGTATAGTCGTTTATCACTATCGTTGAGTTTTGTCGAGATTTCAGCTTGAGACTCCACTCAGTTTACACTAAATGCTACATTTCTGAGTTGGCCGCAATAGATACGTATATCTGAAAGTTTTTTATTATTTTTACGTTTTACGTAAAAATAAATCTGATTTATTAATAATTAATAATATTTAATGATTTAAAAATAATTTATTAATACGTAAAGTTTTTACGTATTATTGTGTTTTTGTTTATCTGTTTTGTCACTCGCTGTAGTAGGGTAAAGAGAAGTTCAAGTCGCAGTGTATGGGGGTAGAGATGTTTCATAAGACTTTGGACCAAGGCATGGCTGGCGATCAGTGTGGGGTTATGCTGAAGGGCGTGAAGAAAAATCAGGTAGTATTGAAATTTCACGACCGTGATATGGAAAACACTAGTGAAAAAATATTTTACGACTACTGCATATCACCGCGAATATCGGGTTTTTCACCGAGTTTTACGCCACTTCACGTAAAACGGGTGTTGAAACTCCAATATATATTATATTCTGAAAAACTAGGTGGATAACACGATATTCGAGCTATGCAGTAGTCGTGAAATATGTTTTTCACTAGTGTTTTTCATATCACTAGGGTGAAAGTCCAATATAAGGTTTCCATTTCGAATCGTCATCTGGACTTCAGATCAGACGAGGCATGGTACTCACCAAGCCAGGAGCTGCTAAGACGTATACAGAATTCGAGAGCGACTTATATGTGTTGAAGGAGGATGAGGGTAAACGGATCGACACTGTGTGGGGAAATATGTACATGGTCAACTACACGTCTTGGTGCCAATATGAAAGTTCTTCATGTATATAGCAAATTGTTTATGTTGTAATATATCTTTATTATTTTCAGCAAATTCTTTATGTAGTATATAAATTCCTAGAAACTCCTGAGCTGAGGAAGGCGAACATATGTTCCAAGTAATGTGGGAAAATATGGACATACTCAACTACATGTGTTAGCTACAATTTGAAAATTCTAGGACGTTTATCCGATGTCATCAGCAATTTGATTCACTATTTCTGTAGAGATGTTACATGTCGGTTGCGCGCTGAATAGAATACACATTTAGCTACTTCCTGTTCTGGGAAAATTTTGGGACATACTTGTCTTTCACTCCAATTCATATATGAACTGCCGTCGCCGCGCTGAGGAAGGCGAACATATATTACTGCTCCAACACTGCATCAACATGTATGTTCTCTCAGGGGGTAGGAAGAACCCTTTTCACAGCGAGTATCGCCCACAGGCGTACATCAGAACGGGAGATTGTTCATGCAGAATTATACTCCCTGATGATGTCGATATGGCTATGCCTGGTAGCTTCGCGAGGTCCGCTGAGTTCGCACGCACTTGTTGTTAGGTGATAGCATTAAAGCGACATTGAAATTGGACAGACCCCAGGCAGTTGAAGTTGGTAAGAAACATCTATGGAGTTTCATCTGATTTGCGTGGGCAACGCAATAGTCTTGCTATGTAGTAGTCGTGAAATATATTTTTCCACTAGTGTTTTTCATATCACTAGAGTGGAACTCTTATTTTCTACTTCGCGCTCTTTTACTGGTTATATAAATAAGCTAGTTCATAATGTTGGTATGATAATAATTTCATATATCAATAGTGTTTCACATATGAAAAAACCCTAATGAAAAAAATTACTCGAACAATTGTGTTATCGGTCGTGGAAACATACATGTTCACATGGAGTATTACGCCACTTCACGATAAACGGGTGAAACTCCAATTTAGGTTAATCTATATGGTAAAAACTGATAGCCAGCAATATAAGTGTTTTCACTCAGGCTTGCGGTTTGCTCTACGAGAAGGAGGGAAGACAGTTGCGAGTGGTTTGATTACCGCGTGTAACTCGTGAACTATCATGAAAGTGACCATAAGCTGGCGCTGATTGTTGTGACGAACCTACCATTATAGGTGGCCAAGTTGACATGTTGTCATTTGTTTCTGTCATTTCCATCCTTGTTGGATTCCTAGTTCGGGTTTCCGTGTGGCTGGTGGTATATTGTCAATAATATAAAGCATGTTGAAGCATAAACCAATTGTATCACATGGGGTGGGCATCGGGATTGTAACCGAAGTTTAACTGGTCAATTTTGATCCGTCACGGTATAAGGCGTGTGCGATATGCTATCATACTATTATCAAAGGTGTTACTTGCCTGGTTGCTGTGGTTAGAGAGGAAGCCACGACTAGTTTGTGCCGATATACACGCAGTTGTTGGGCGTGCGCGAAATGAGCAGGCGTTAACTACAGTGTACATAAACATAAGAGCATAATCCCTCATTTTTGTGTCCCCGGCCTCCCATGGTTATAGCACGCTAAGATAAGTTGGATCTCAACTCTAGCCGGAAGGATCGGAGACCAATCAAAATCACGTGTACGGCACAATACTCCCTATTATCATGAATGCTGATACTCGGCTCTTTGGTACTCTGTCATGCCTGCTCGGCACCTCGAGACTTCTGCGCCGCTTCGCGTTTTGGCATATGTCATCATCAATGATGACTTATGATATTTAACATCATAATTGCGATAATCTCAAATATGGCGAGTTCTGTAGTTGTTTAGTACAACATGCTCGTGAGTATAAAAGGAAGTGAAATTATAAGGGTTTTCGAGTGCATCCATCAGTTCAAATCGACTTGGACGTAGCGCAACATCGAAAGATATGAAACGACAGTCCACTTTCGACAGCCCTCTTCTACTGACACATAGTACAATATCATCACGGAATCATAATAGAGGAGTTTCATCTATTTTACGTGGAGTGGTGTAAAACTCGGTGAAAAACGCGAAATTCGCGGTATACCGTAGTAGTCGTGAATTAGGTTTTTCACCAGTATTTTTCACTCCAATGTTTCTCAAAACTAGGGATCCTCGAAACTATGATGATACGCAAGAACAGAGGGATAAAGTTATTTTGAAATCAGCAATGATTAGATAAATATAGCAAAATCGGCATCATCATCATCGTCATTAGCCATCGTAAGTGATAATGACTTGCCGTATAGGACTCCTGCAAACCGGACACACGCTCAACTGTTCAGTACAGCCGTGGCAGACAACACGATGTGCGCAATCCAAGAGCACTGTATCAATAGTTCTATCGAAACATATCTGAAATGCAAAACTGTGCTGTCGTATATTCCATATATGAGACTCTCAGTGCGGAAAAATATGCACATGGTCCACTACATATGTCGGCGACAATATGAAAATTTCGAGGAAATGCTAGAAAATTATCACTGGTTTCTCTGCATTTATACCCGATTTTGTATATAAGCGCCTTCACTATATGAGGAAGGCCGAGAAAAGCGGACATATATTCCTCCAACATATGAGAAACTCTGAGATCTACGCAATAGCGACCGAAAACTTGATGGAAATGCAAAACTTTTTTCCTCACCTTGCACAGATTTTGTTCCTCCACGTTTGCTAGTCTCGTTTCCAACTCAGAAATTCGTGCTCTCATTCTCGACTGGTCTCCCATATCCTTGCCCGAAACCATCGTTTCCACGGCAGCCGGCATCGCTGTGCCTTGCTCCGGTTGCCCATCAGTATTGCTACTCCAACCATTCTCCTCAGTGTCATTCACTTCACGAGGAACCACTCTTGAGGCCGCACGCCCCATTGTAAGACGTTTCCGTCGTCCTTTCTCCGCCCGACTAACCTCCTCAATCAATGGAATACCTAAGACGTTTCATTGAGCTCATTACTCTCCCTTTGAAAACGAGCGACGAGAATTCCTCCGACCCACATATTGGATATTCATTTTCCCCACATTTATCAATAGTATTACAAAAATATAATAATTGTTTGATAGAGCTTATGCTCCTACTCCCTATTGCCAGCTCGATGACCGTGCACTTACGCCAAATATCATTTCTCCGCACACCGTCGAATCCACCAACAATATACATGAACCCGTTGTACATGACAGCCCGATGGAACGTCCGAGCAGATGGAGAGGGATCGCCCCACGTCTTCACTCTGGACCAGACTCCTAAGCAATATTATTGATATAATGAAGTTTCACGATCGTAATACGAAAAACACTAGCGAAAAACATATTCCACGACTGCTTCATATCACCGACAATATCGCGTTTTTTCATCGAGTATTACGCCAGTTCACGTAAAACGGGTTGTGAAACTCCAAAATTTACTAAAACTCATTGATTATATCTTATATTATGTGCATGTTGACATTATATACTAATCAGTACAGTGGAGTTTCACCACCCTAGTGATATGAAAAACTCTAGTGAAAAATATATTTCACGACTACTGCATATCACCGCGAATATCGCGTTTTTCACCAAGTTTCACGCCACTTCACGTAAAACGGGTTGTGAAACTCCAGAAAATAATCAACAATTCAGCGAAATTCCATAAGCTCGTTGGAAAACCGGTAAAAAAGATTCGAGATCAAACATATATTGAGATTCATTACTCGTCTCGAAATTGAATTCACAAAGGTCAGCAAAACGCTCCTGCTTCTTGTCAACTCCGCCGAATATGAACATACAGCAGCCATAAACCACTGAAAAGGAAATTAATAAATGCAATAAACCCAACTTGGTGACTCCCCTACCAGCACTATGTCGATATCTACTGCTCACGATCTCGCCACGCCCAGGGACTGACAACCAGTTTTGCGATTCTGTAGAATATTCGCATCTAAGGAAAGTAAATCACACTAGACGAGCAAAAGTGCATTACAAATCATCCAGTGTATCATGACCATTCCACCCTCCAAAGACATACATGGACCTATGTGATATCAGACACACCTCGGGAGCTTGCGTACTCACGTATTATACATAACCGCCGTGTGCCCGAATCGTCCTAAGGGCTCATTTCCTGGGCTAATCGCAGTCCACGCTTCCTCCTCAGTGTTGAAACTAAGATGGAATTCGAAATCAACCTCTATTTGCGCATGCGTGCAAATACAATTTATTACATGTGTAGATCTTGAAATCTCGATCTGCCATCGAAACCACCAAATACATATATGTCCGACCTGACGACGACAGAACAGATCATAGCCAGGCTTGGAGTATATGTTTGCTTTCCTCAGCTACTGAGCTCAGGAGTGAACACAGTGTTGGAGTAGGAATATATGTTTGCTTTCCTTAGCTACTGAGCTCAGGAGTGAACACAGTGTTGGAGTAGGAATATATGTTTGCTTTCCTCAGCTACTGAGCTCAGGAGTGAACACAGTGTTGGAGTAGGAATATATGTTTGCTTTCCTCAGCTACTGAGCTCAGGAGTGAACACAGTGTTGGAGTAGGAATATATGTTTGCTTTCCTCAGCTACTGAGCTCAGGAGTGAACACAGTGTTGGAGTAGGAATATATGTTTGCTTTCCTCAGCTACTGAGCTCAGGAGTGAACACAGTGTTGGAGTAGGAATATATGTTTGCTTTCCTCAGCTACTGAGCTCAGGAGTGAACACAGTGTTGGAGTAGGAATATATGTTTGCTTTCGTCAGCTACTGAGCTCAGGAGTGAACACAGTGTTGGAGTAGGAATATATGTTTGCTTTCCTCAGCTACTGAGCTCAGGAGTGAACACAGTGTTGGAGTAGGAATATATGTTTGCTTTCCTCAGCTACTGAGCTCAGGAATGAACACAGTTTTGGAGTAGGAATATATGTTTGCTTTCCTCAGCTACTGAGCTCAGGAGTGAACACAGTGTTGGAGTAGGAGTATATGTTTGCTTTCCTCAGCTACTGAGCTCAGGAGTTTCCCACTAATTATAAGAGCTTATTCCACGAATTTCAGCGAAAATGTATAGAAACCAACGAGAATATCCCAGAATTTCCTCAAATTCTCGTATGGTCACCGACACATGTAGTTCATCATGTGCATATTTTACGACATTGATAATATAAGTATTCCGCCCAGTGTGTGGGAAAATATGCACATGGTCAGCTACATGTGTTGGTGATGACAATATAAAAAAGGGGAATTCGGAGAAATTCACTTCTATGTAAACTCCTATAATTGCTGAAAAAACTCCTGAGCTCAGTAGCTGAGACAACCACGTATATTCACCCAACACTGTGTTCACTCCCAGGCGATGACGTAATATAACACCACACACCAACAACCATCCGACATCCTCCCCATTCCTACTACCTCAATATACAGCACGTATGATCAGTTCGGGGAGACGGTGGAGTACCACGTCTAGGCTTGACCAGTGTCCACTGAGGAGAAGATTATGCTATCAACTTCACATAAAAAGAGCATTCGTGATTGCTATACTGATGCGAAGTAAAACCGATCAAATTCAAAATCATCGAATTTATTGTGTTTTAAATATTCATCCCGAGGCTGCGCTCGTCCACTCAACGAAAACGATTCCATAGTAGCATGTGGGGTGTCGGTGACAATATGGAAATTTTGAGGGAATTCTCATTAATTCCTATATACTTCAACTCGAATCTAATATATTTATTATATAATTTTATCGTTATATGCCCCACCATTGTGGTTATTACTATACCATCAAAATGTCAAAATCTAATAAGGTCTATAATTATTGGACCAACATATAATATTATTTTAAAATAAGTATTCAATATCATCTATATATATTTTAGGGAGCCCTCCTGTCGGCGTACGATAAACGGATGTTACAATCACAGTGTTTGTGATTCCGAGATTTACAGTAAAATTTATTACCAGAAATCTCAGTACCAGCTCTGGCTGTGCGTCCAACAATTATAAATTACTATTATCTAATTATTAACATATACTAAAATTATTTCTGGAATAAGTGGGCAAACTCACGAGTTCGGCTGAGGGGGGCAAACATATATTTCAAGCCGTAGCAATTTCGAGGGCAAACTCCCCAGGGGCGTTTTCCATTTCACTATTACAGTTCCTTTAACTAGATTGAGCCTCCACATATCATTAAAGTACTTCCCTTCCTTTTTCGTATAGCCACCAAATAGATACATATAATCTTTGTATACCACCGCCTTACTACCGCTCCTCGCGGCTGGTTGCGGCGACGATGTGGCCACTTTACACCACATTTGTGTAGAAAAATCGAACCTGGAAAATTGCTCACACTCTTATCAAGCGATGGCAAACTACTACTTATAGACATCATTTTGACGCGCATGTTCGTCCGTCCCACCAAAGACGAACATATGCTTTCCCCAGGTCACCGCTGAGTGCCCCGTTCTCCCACTCAAGTCATCACCAATAGCATTCTTAGTCTCGATTCTCTGCCACTTGCATAGGTCCTCAGGCATCACCACTTGTGGAGGCTCAGAACTACATGAAGTATCACAGCAGGCACAGCTGGCCGCTACACAAGCTGAAGACGAAGCCGCCACAGTATCAGATCTTGAAAGAGCCGCAGCCCTTTTCCTCAGGCCCTCTTCCATTGCAACCCGATACATATCATTTTGTCGGCGACCGTCAAAACCACCTATAAGGTAGAGCGTGCCTGCCAAACAGCGTAAGAAAATATCATTGCTTTCCTCAGCTACTGAGCTCAGGTGAGTTTCCCATGGGAGTCCACACACAAAAATATTCGAAGATATTCCGCAAAGTCTCCTTATGATTTTCTATATTCTAACCAACACATCTACTTGACCATGTTCACATAGAAGACAGCGCTCATTATGATTCGATGAACGAGTGGTATTACCATGCCAGACGCGACACTTATGGAAGGTTCTCCCAGTTGGAATCTCTCCCACCGTATCGAGCTTAGACCAGACACCAGTGTTGAAGTCGAACTCTGCCAATTCGTTGAACCGATGTTGGTCCTTGTCAACTCCACCAAATACGATCATACTGTCATCTATCACTACACATCCATGTCGGTATCGCGGACGAGGAACAATACCACGTTGAGCCACTGGGTACCTGTAGTTTACATATACTTGGACTCATATAATATAGAACTTTCACCCTAGTGATATGAAAAACACTAGTGAAAAACATATTTCACGACTACTGCATATCACCGCGAATATCGCGTTTTTCACCGAGTTTTTTAGTATTATCAATACTTTTATGCTACTCGGCTATAATCGTGCGTCAAAATCTCACATTTTCAAATTTCTTCCACAAACGTTTATTACATACTCTTATAGTGTCCTATAATATATAGTGGAGTTTCACAACCCGTTTTACGTGAAGTAGCGTAAAACTCTGTGGAAAAACGCGGTGATATGCAGTAGTCGTGAAATATATTTCTCACTAGTGTTTTTCATATCACTAGGGTGAAACTCCAATGAGTATAATAGGGTGAGAAAATTGCAGGTAGGAGATCGACTGTACAGTGGTGTCAATTTGATATGATGCAAATGTGTGTTATTTTCCGAGATTAATAAGAATCGATCTGAAACTATATCGCATAAACAATATAAACATTGCTATGAACATGTGATGTGATAAAAGTAACCTTTCGAGACTATGATAGCGACAAGTTGTTCACTATCATTAATCCCGGAATAGAAAACACACATATCAACTTGGCACTCATCACTGTGTGATCAAAACCAGCAACGCCAACCCTTGCCGAATCCACGTTACTACCATTTTCCAGATGGGAAGTTGAATTCCCACAGCTCGTTCAACGTGTCGTGACCGTCCCAACCGCCGAATACGTACATACACGAACCGTGAACCACAGCAGAATGCCCAAATCTCGGGGTAGGACACTCCTGCCCAGTCGCCACCCTTGTTGCGGGACCATCTATAAGTTCCCATCTCGCCACAGGTGAGCCTCCACGGAACGCTCCATGGGCGGGTAGCGTCATCATACTAACATCGTTGAAACGATTCCTGCCATCGAAACCGCCAAATGTGTAGACACAACCGTCGTAGAGGACCATCGAATGGTCAGTTCTCCGAGCTGGAACATCACCAGCAGCAGCGAGCATGGTCCACGTGTGGTAGAGCGGGTTGAATGCCCAGGTGTCGTTGAAGTAGTCGCCATCCTTTTTGGTGTAACCACCGAATATGTAGACAATTCCTTCAAAAACAGCCGAGCGGGCACCTGATCGGGCTGGGGGCTCGCTGACTTGTCCATCGTGACATCGCTGAACCTGTCAAGACTTCGATCGAACTCCGAGATAGGTTAACGGCGAGTGACGAAAATATATGCACGTGGTCAACTACATGTGTTGATGACAATGAAGAGACTTTGGAAATGATCGTTGTACACTTCTACCCAAAACCGTGTGGGGATTTTCATAATATACTGAGGAAACCCACGAGCTCGGTTAAGGAAAACAAACATATATTCCCACACTGATCAAGATGATTCTAAAAATTCCAATAAAGTTGACTACAATTCTTTTCTCAGAGGGCACAGTGCCTACCTACCTTCACCCGCTCCCATTCCTGTCTGTTACACCAGTAACAGTACACGTCACACTTTCTGCTTTCCCCGTCAGTGCCACCAAATAAGAATATATGGTCACCAACACTTGCGCAACAATGTCCAGTTCGAGGAGTGAATACTTCCCCAGTTGTCCGAACCTTCTCCCATCGGAAAGTGACTGGGGTAGGTCTTGGAGGCGACAGACTGGTAGTGTACGCTCGAGCCCTGTCTGGTTCGGCCGACATTGAGAGTCGTGACATTTGAGAGGTCACCTGCCGCATAGGACCTATCAAGAGTAATGTTATTACTATAACTCATGCATAGGTCTAAGGAGAATACACTTAGCTGTGTGATAGTGAAATGGGTGAGGTTATTACTACTTTCATCATTCGTATCACTTTCCCTATACCATGAAGTCATGGATGATGGTGAAGACTCGAGCCTCCTAAGTGGACCGCCGTGGGAACCGTAATCGGCTGATGACCGCATGGCGATAGAATTAATTATGGCTGTGAGAAAATGAAGAACATGTAGCACTTTGTCGGCGGAGCGATGCACGCAATGGTGTAAGAATTTCTGATTGTCGCTCGCCCATTAATCATCTGGGGCCGTTGTTGCTGATGCAACAGGTGAGTCAGAGTATTAACTCAGATAAAAAATCAGATGGTGAGTATTGACGCCTGAGTCACTGATTTTTCACTCTGGAGCGAGAAATCAGGATCATCGCGATGATATGTGAATCTCCGAGCTGATTCGAGAATCTAAAGTTGATTTTTTTGGCTGATTAATACTCTTACTCAATATGCCTTGCTCATGAGGCTCATTTTTCGGGTGATTCAATTGAATCTGACTATTTTCAAGAATCAGGGAATCACAGTTTGAATGAGACATTTTTTACGACACAAAGACTATAGTCGCTACGACCCAAAACCGAAAGTGACAACTTCAAGAGAAGGATAAAACGTCACCCTGTGAGTGTAGTACCTGGTAGGTTCGCCCCGAATACATAGACATTTCCCCTTACACTAAATCAATAGTGAAGGTTTTGGAAGGAGATCTTTTGTCGCACGTGTACACATCCGTACTTCAAACTTTTCAAGATGTTCACTCGAACGTCGGAATCAACTAACTCTGGATTTCTAACTCAGAAATTCTAAGTGAAAGCCTAAGTCCAACAACTCCCATAGAGCTTCCTTTGAGAACCGGTAGCGTGATCGGGTGTCGTCATCCGACAATATCTCGAAGGGTTTCTATGGCTTTTATGGATAATTAATTGAATTAAGGAATGCGTAATTCACACCGTGTGGTCGTATGTACTACACGGGCTAAACCTCCATCCACCGTTTCGTACCGTACGATATCATAGCTGAACTGGTTAAGGGTGTCCTTCCACGTGCTCCGCGCGGGGGTTCTATTCCCGGGTTACCCGGTCCGGGTAGGATCACACTGATAGTCCGTATGTACTACGTGCGCTATACCGCCTTGCACCGTCTTATTTCGCATAATCTCACAGCTCAACTGGTTAGGGATACACTTTCACTTGATCGCAGCCGAGGTTCTATCCCCCGGTACGGCTATTCTGAGAACCTACTTGCAAGCAGCTGAGGAGGTCTACCGTGGCGTGCGCTGAAGTCGCGAATCAAGGTCGAGAATCAGTATCAGGGTCCGGACCCCCGGTACCTTCGCCCAAGTTTGTGTTACGACGCAACAGTTACTGCACCCTCACATAAAGCGCCCCCCCCTCCATAAATGATCAATGATGTACGTAACAGTGTTACGATAACACTAAAGAAAACGTGAGGGTGGTGCTCCGTGGACTACGTGAAGTGTAGTGTACACAACGACTCTAGCCCGGGAATAGCTGGTGGCAGCTCAATCCGAAAGTGAGTTGTGTGGGAGTCTCACAACCCATTTGATGCCTGTGAGCTGAGTATCAGAAGGTAGGAAATGAGAGGCATCACAGGAAAGTATAGGGGCATAACCCGTAATGGTGCTGAAAAGACCTGGCAAACAATGTCTCATGAATATGGGGAAATGAACGAAACCGATCGCTCACGTGTCACTACCGGGCCACGCGGCGTTGCTCACTTGAAAACCCAAGACCCTTCGAGACTTTCGAATCGAAAGTCATTCAGAGCGGTCCCCTTCGACACATAGTCATCCCGGGTATGGGTCGGCTTTTAGACTCCCACCAGTCGTTCCACCATCTTCCCACTCAATCCCATGAATTTCTACGTGACTGCTTTTGTGGCGCATACTATCTATTTCCAGATGTTGATACGTATGGAAATGGTCAAGTACAGATATGACCGATAATTTTGTTCAGAACTACACTCTAACGTTTTCTGATGTTCGTGGCAGCAGGCCTCTCTCGATCGGTCGATTATCGCGCTGCTTGCCTTGTGGCGTTGTGCTGTACGGTACGCACGTCGCGCACCGCACAATCAATGTCAGAGAGTAGTCTGCAGAAATGGCTTCACATAATTACCAAATCTCCCCACGACAAGCCGATACCTGGGTTTTGGGTTTATATCTGCTTCATAACAGCGTAATGCAGGAACCATATGCACTGCAGAGTCCCCAGGCAGCGTTTCATGACGTACACGAAAAGCATTGCATCTGCGTTCCCCGAAGGTGGAGCGTTCTGCGTCACGTGGTCTGCGCAGCTTCCTCACATGATTCTTAGTTTCCTATGTTCTGAAATCTCTTTGGATCGCCTTTCAGTTTAGCGAAACTATCCTCCCCCGATGCTCGCTGCCATCATCCTCTCCTTGGTATTAGATTTTTCGTCTCCGGTGTATGCTGATCGTAAGCACACTGTGAGAGCTTTCATCGAGTTCCCGAGTAGAATGAGTTTGAATAACTACACGAGTATGCTCGAGGCCGGTGCCAACACGCTCATACTGGGAAACAGTGTTGCCAACGCTAGTGGGGAAGTTATCGTGGTTGATGGCGTCAATGCGACGCTCATGTCCGATATCCATACGCTCGCCAAGCACTATAATGCAGAAGTTTTACTGGGCGTCACCCCAATGTTCGACAAGGGCGACAATACCTCGCAATTCGGTTATGGCTTCGCCGCGTCAGTGGAGAGGTACTTCGACCAGTTTTATCTGGATGGTTTCGTAGTCGTGCCCTTTAACGACACAACTTACGTCGAAGTTGTACGCTCTATGGGAGACATTATACGCTCCAGTAGAACATGGAAGGAAGATAGAGGCACAGCCGTGCTGATGTGAGTCCATCCACTGCTCCACATTACTGATGCTTTATCGTTGTCCCCCAGGTTCCAAAGCGTAGGGTACTGGCCTCTCATTGAAGCAGTTGGGGTTCCGGCGTACTTCGACACCGCCATCTGTATTCTCGAGACTGATCCGGCAGTGACCCATACTATCAAGTGGGCCGAAGAAAGCCTACACAAGTGGGACAACATCACTCGTACCCCAGAAGATCTGGAGTTCGGAGTAAGCTGGAATTACCGGTTCATAGTTACCCATCTTCTCCTGTGTATCAGGTCATCCCAGAAGGCCGCAAAGAGTCAAGTCTCGATGCTCTAGCCTATCGGGAGCTCATTGATATGGGAGCTCCATCAGATGGCGTAGGCTTATTCGATGGTTACTATTACGATTCGCAGAGGCAGATTCGCGAGAAAGCGAACCTTGTACTTTCTGTGAATATGCAGGGCATTACGTTCGTTGATATTGGTGGTGATCTGCCTGCTAACGATAACAGATCCCTCCTTAAGGCTGCTGTAGACGCTTTCCGCCTTCAGTAAGGCTGTACTTTTTCTTTTCAAGAATATACTCGATGTTCGTAGATAACTGCCTCAGGCAGTTAATTCCCAGTCTATTCCGTCATAGTTCAACTATGATAATTCAATTTATTATCCCTTTTTTCCACTCAGAGGCTGACTTCGACTTCACCGATTTCAATCCTTTCCACTAGTTTTGCGTTCGAAAGTACGCAGACAGTTCAGGTGTCGCCACTTCATACAAACCCAGCTTGTACAGGACTCCGGTAACTTCTTTAACAGGAGTGATTTTGATTTTAGTCGAGCGAAATCATTCTTCTCTGTGGATAGCTATCTTACTAACGATTGTTTCGTGCAACGACCACAGGTGGAGGAATTACCCCAGTAGGGGGGCCGCACTATTGTTCAAATCATTTGAATCAAATGCCCCACTCTTGATCACATGGGTCTGATGGAGTGCTTCGACTACCGAACTTTGACACGAACCGGCTCTAGAATTACCAATCAGGGAAAGACACTCAGGGACACAGTCTGGGTGACACTCGGCGAGTCTGCCGACAATGCGTGTCTGCACCCTCATCGGTACTTCCTCCCCACACCAGACCCGCGAGCCAGCAACGTTGACCTAATGACTATTTAGGTACAAAGAGCTGCTAACTCCGAGCGGCTGCTAATTGACTCGTGATTAGCACTGTTGGTTGCTCTCTGTGAACCCTTCCGATTGGTGTACTACAGTGACTCCCAGGTTACTTACTGAAAGCACAGTCAATTATAATAATAGTTACGATAACCAAAAACTAATACGTACAATACAGAATACTCACTCTCTATCACCAATATCGATTATAACATTCACTGACTGGACTCAGCCCTTACTAGCCTACTAGCTTTCTCGCATAAGGCTCTGACCCATCCACTTCAGTTTCCTTAGGAATGCAACGGCGCGAAATGCGAACAACACGTGCTTCCTATAGTAAGAAAGTTGCACGGTTTGTCTGGCGTTACCAGTGGTAATATTCAGCAGCACTTCCTTGGCCAAGGGATAGGGACTCACGACAAACGGCTTGACACCGTCGGTCATTCGGTCATGACGGAGCCCGTTAGACCCAGTCCGTCAGGCTCTCATGATGAGAGTCTCATCCAGCCAATAACTCTCAATTCAGCCCATGGTATCCGTAGTGCAGTCAACGAAGGCAGTGCCGGCCGATCGTTAGCCACCGATGTGCTGGTTCTACTTTTTGCTATATACTCCAGGAACTGTAGTATAGAACCATGTACATTATGCAGTAAATCAGTCATTCCGGATGAATCATTCGATATTCAGCAGCCAATACACAGTCCTTGAGTTGACCGCATCGCAGACGGCGCCCGAAGCTGACAGCAACATGTTTCGTGTCGCTAAGTTTTGCACCGCAAACTTCTTCCCAAGGTTTGTGTCACAGAATATTTGTGGGGTAGATTGTTACATCATGTGACAATCTACCCCACCAAAAATTTGTTCATGTGACTCACATGAACACAAGTCAGACGCTTACCGCTCCCTACGATACCTCCAGGTCGGGATCGTGTGGCAGGGCGCTGGGTCTTAGACTCATAGCCTTCGACATCAAGGAGAATCTTCATGTCATGACTCTCATGGCAGTTAGTGTATTTGTTGAACAATACTGCTTGGATATGTCAAGGACGCTTACCCCTTTCTGGCAGCGGTCGCATGTATGGCGACTCTCACATCCATTGATAGGCGATTAGTAGAGAAGTTAAAAAGTATCGTATCATCAAGTGATCACGTTGATGATATGAACTTCAACTCTTCAACGTAAATGCTCAATGATTTACGTAACGCTTACGAAAATATGAGGGAGATGCTCCATAGACTATAAGAAGCATAGTATGCATTGTGTAGCATCGCCTGACTCAAGCCCGGGAATAGCTGGTGGCAGCTCAATCCGAAAGTGAGTTGTGTGGGAGTCTCACAACCCATTTGATGCCTGTGAGTTGAGTATCAGAAGGTAGGAAATGAGAGGCATCACAGGAAAGTATAGGGGCATGATCCGTAACGGTGCTGAAAAGCCCTGGCAAACAATGTCTCATGAATATGGGAACAATGGAGATGCACCCATACTACATGGACCACAGTTTTACGCCCAGAGTTCTACGTGAATTAAGCGAAGTGGAAAATGGATTCGACATTACGCGAAAAACACCAGTGAAAATGGCCAGTTCGTGTTAAACACGTGACCGATTTCGCGCAAACACACGAAGTTCGTGAAATACGAAGCGTAAAACCCCGCCGTCGCTACACATGTGAATAGCATTGCCGGAAGATCATTTTGTTTCCTGAAAAGGTTCGTTAATTTTACGCAGTGCAGGAGTAGACTCCGGCGCCGCATCGTGCGCCGCGCATGTCGTATCCTTGATAATTTTGATTTCCTCTATAACGAATAAACTGGAATTGGAGTAGGCCGTCAGGACATGCTGAGAGTACAGGAGCAGTCTGTTCCTCTAAGGAAAAATGGTTTGGAGTCGGGGGAGTGTTACCTAACGGCAACGGCGTGACGTTGTGCGCTACCGTGCGTGCCGTGCGCCGCACGACATGGATGTGCCGCACAATCAATGCCAAATAGTAATCTATGGAAATTGCTCCACATCATTAACAAATCTACCTTACCACGAGCCCATATCGAGATTGCGATCTCATACATATTATACCGCAGAGTACTGCAAAAACCTTCTGGACTGCAGAGTCTACAAGCAGCGTTTGATGACGTATACGGCATACGCGTTCCTCGGGGGTGGAGCGTTCTGTGTCACGTCACCTGAGGATGTCACGCCATGTGAGGATGGGTGGAACTTCTCATGCGAGTCTCCTATGCTCTGACATCTCTTTGGACTGCCTTTCAGTTTAGCGAAACTATCCTCCCCCGATGCTCGCTGCCATCATACTCTCCTTGGTATTGGATTTTTCGTCTCCGGTGTATGCTGATCGTCAGCACACTGTGAGAGCTTTCGCCATGTTCCCGAGTAGAATGAGTCTGAATGACTACACGAGTATGCTCGAGGCCGGTGCCAACACGCTCATACTGGGAATCAGTGTTGCCAAGGCTAATGGGGAAGTCGTTCTTGTTGATGGCATCAATGCGACGATCATGTCCGATATCCATACGCTCGCCAAGCAGTATGATGCTGAAGTTTTACTGGGCGTCAGCCCAATTTTCAAGGAGGGAGAAGATATCAAACAATTCGATAGGGGCTTCGCCGCATCAGTGGAGAAGTACTTCGAGGAGTTTTATTCGGATGGTTTCGTAGTCGTGCCCTTTTCCGACTCCACTTACGTCGAAGTTGTACGCTCTATGGGAGACACTATACGCTCGCGCAGGACGTGGAAGGATGACAGAGGCACAGCCGTGCTGATGTAAGTCCATCCACTGCTTCACATTACTGATGCTTTATCGTTGTCCCCCAGGTTCCAAAGCGTAGGGTACTGGCCTTTTATTGAAGCAGTTGGGGTTCCGGCGTACTTCGACACCGCCATCTGTACTCTCGAGACTGATCCGGCAGTGACCAATACTATCAAGTGGGCCGAAGAAAGCCTACACAAGTGGGACAACATCACTCGTACACCAGGAGATCTGGAGTTCGGAGTAAGCTGGAATCACCACATTATCGTTCCTCATCTTCTACCGTGTATCAGGTCATCCCAGAAGGTCGTAAAAAGCCAAGTCTCGATGCTCTAGCCTATCGGGAGCTCATTGATATGGGAGCTCCATCAGATGGCGTAGGCTTATTCGATGGTTACTATTACGATTCGCAGAGGCAGATTCGCGAGAAAGCGAACCTTGTACTTTCTATGAATATGCAGGGCATTACGTTCTTCGCTATTGAAAGTGACCTGCCTGCGAGCGATAACAGATCCCTTCTCGTCGCTGCTGTCGGCGCCTTCCGCCCTCAGTAAGGCCCTATTTTTTCTCTTCGATCCTACGTTCGATGTTTCCATCAGAAGTAGTCATCTTTCCAGCCCACCCACTCATAGTTAAACTTCGATGGTTCAACGTCTAAACCCACCTTTCCTACTCGGTGGCTGAGTCCACTTCAATCTATTTCCGTCTACTACACTAATCTTGCGTTCAACAGTATCCGAGCAGTAGTTCAGATCTCGCCACTTCTATGCCTAAATCGCTCTTGTGAACAAGTGATTGTGATTTTAGTCGGGTAAAATCATACTTTTCGATGGACAAGTATCTCACCAACGATTGTTTCGTGTAACGATTTGTCACTAATGATTACAGATTGAGAGTCTTCGAGTACTCCTTCAAATCACACTCTTGATCGCATGGGTCTGATGGAGTGGTTCGACTACCGAACTTCGACACGAACCGGCTCTAGAATTACCAATGAGGGAAATACACTCAGGGACACAGTCTGGGTGACGTTTAGCGAGTCTGCCGAGAATGCGTGTCTGCACCCTCATCGGTACTTCCTCCCCACACCAGACCCGCGAACCAGCAACGTTGATAGTTGTTCCAATGACTGTTGAGGTACGAATAGCTGCTAATTCCAAGCGGCTGCTAATTGACACCTGATATGTGCGACTGAGACTCAGTCTGAGTGTGATTCATAGTGCGCACAACGCTTCACTGAGTAACTCAGTGAATAGTAGGTGATTCATCATAACTAATGATTCACTGGTCTTCGGTCTCGACGGGATCATCCAGTTGCTCTATTGATACGCCACATTGGGACTTCCATTTTTGGAGGTTCAACTCCTTAGAGTTGGTGAAACCGCCTAACAACGCGCGCAGAATACGTGAAAAGGTATATAGTAGATCATTCTTGAATTGAGAGTATTCTACGTTGATGCTTTATTAAGAACGCGATAAGCAAAATTTGGAGTCCATAACATTGCCCGCCTGTTGCTCTACCGGTCACCAACTCAATGCCATGAATTTGGACGTGGCTGTCATTGTGGCGCGTACTGTTTTCTACAGATACATTCGAATATGGATACGTACAGATATGGGGTAACCGACCAGAGATTCCGTTTAGAACTACGCTCCAACATTTTGCCATGTTCCTGGAAGCAAGTCTTATGCTATAGAATCTATTGGATAGGTTGATTATCGTGGAGTCAACGTCAGCAGACGATTGTGTATGCGTACAACATTTACCTAATCTGTCTGTTGTCTGTCTCCCCTCAAGTCGAGTTCACACGTGGATCACGCTGAGTGCTCCGTCACCAACGATGGGAGCGGAGGCCACCTGAGACATGACTCGTAAGGTTCCTACGCCTCGGGTGGTCCGCCTGTGCGAACCGTTGCTAACAACTTGAGTGTGGCGAACGCTCAATTTCAAACAGCAGTCTACAATAATTGATTCACATGTTGTGAATCACATGATTGTTGAATCTCCCCCATCGCCAGTCCATGCCTCGGTCGCGAGCTCACATCTGTTATATAACAGCGCTTGTCGAAGTACAGGGAGCGCCTGATGATGTAAACGGAGAGCGTTGCATTTGTGTTCCTCGGAGGTGGAGCCGCTCCACTGGAGGGGTTCTGCGTCACGTCACCTGAGGATGTCACGCCATGTGAGGATGGGTGGAACTTCTCATGCGAGTCTCCTATGCTCTGACATCTCTTTGGACTGCCTTTCAGTTTAGCGGAATATCCTCCCCGATGCTCGCTGCCATCATCCTCTCCTTGGTATTGGATTTTTCGTCTCCGGTGTATGCTGATCTTCAGCACACTGTGAGAGCCTTCATCACGCAACCAAGTAGAATGAGTCTGAATAACTACACGAGTATGCTCGAGGCCGGTGCCAACACGCTCATACTGGGGATCAGTGTTGCCACGGCTAATGGGGAAGTCGTTCTCGTTGATGGCATCAATGCGACGATCATGTCGGATATCCATACGCTCGCCAAGCAGTATGATGCTGAAGTTTTACTGGGCGTCAGCCCAATTTTCAAGGAGGGAGAAGATACCTCACAATTCGATAGGGGCTTCGCCGCATCAGTGGAGAAGTACTTCGAGGAGTTTTATTTGGATGGTTTCGTAGTCGTACCCTTTTCCGACTCCACCTACGTCGAAGTTGTACGCTCTATGGGAGACACTATACGCTCGGGCAGGACGTGGAAGGATGACAGAGGCACAGCCGTGCTGATGTAAGTCCATCCACTGCTCCACATTACTGATGCTTTATCGTTGTCCCCCAGGTTCCAAAGCGTAGGGTACTGGTCTTTCATTGAAGCAGTTGGGGTTCCGGCGTACTTCGACACCGCCATCTGTATTCTCGAGACTGATCCGGCAGTGACCAATACTATCAAGTGGGCCGAAGAAAGCCTACACAAGTGGGACAACATCACTTGTACCCCAGAAGATCTGGAGTTCGGGGTAAGCTGGAATCACCAGATCGTCGTTCCTCATCTTCTACCGTGTATCAGGTCATCCCAGAAGGACGCAAGAAGCCAAGTCTCGCTGCTATAGCCTATCGGGAGCTCATCAATATGGGAGCTCCATCAGATGGCGTAGGCTTATTCGATGGTTACTATTACGATTCGCAGAGGCAGATTCGCGAGGAAGCGAACCTTGTACTTTCTATGAATATGCAGGGCATTACGTTCTTCGCTATTGAATGTGACCTGCCTGCTAACGATAACAGATCACTTCTCAGCGCTGCTGTCGGCACCCTCCGCCCTCAGTAAGGCCTTTTTTTCTTACCGACTCCATGTTCGATACTGCACGTAAGAGCAGTCATTAGTCAAACTATGATAGTTTGACGTGTTACTCACGTTTTCCCACACTGCATCTGAGGCTGAGTCCGACTTCACCTATTTCAGTCCATTGAACTAATCTTGCGTTCGATAGTACACATGCAGTGGCCCTTTAACTTGAACACCTCTACTTGTATATCCTCAAGGACTTCCTTAAGGCAATACACTACAACCTCAAGTGGCTAAGTGGGTATCATAGGCCTAGGACCCTTCAGATCTAGGACCTAACTCCCGAACCTACTGAGTTAGGTCCTTAGGGAGGGGGCAAAGACCTTAAAGTGAGGGGAAGTCTGTATCACATGCTAAGGGCAACTCCACAAGGTGTCATTAAGGCTGGTCCGGAACAGCGGAAGCCTGTCTGTGTCCCAGACTTCGGGAGCTACTCCGCTAAGTGTAATCCAGCGACAACAATGCAGAGAGATTCGATCTCGAGGCATTCCATCCATACTATCTGTAACACAACCTTTTGGATGTCAGAAACGCATGTCTGCTGTTAACATGTGGAACGCGTTTCAATTTATTAGTCATTTACACTACTTTCGGGATAAGGAAGACAAGAGAAAGTTAGAAACCATCGCCCGATCGTCAAATATGACGATGGCGACGCTACTCAAGGTATCTCTTCTTTGTATTTTAATAGGCAGAACTTTTGTGGAAGAACTTTCTTCTTTGCCACGTGCTCCGCGTCTGCTTGGGCTCGCGCCTGTTCCCAGTATACATGTCTCTTTCTCTGAGTCACCAGCTCCGCGAGACAAGCAGAACATTCGAGATCCAGAACTTCTGGATCTCGAGTGTTCTTCTGGACCAGAAGAATACATGACGAGGTAGCTCATGAATGCGATCTAGGAACTGATTGATAATCTAACGGTTAGGATCATGGACTAGTCCATGATCCTGGGTTCTATGACCGTACCCTACATTTTTCAAACATCTTCAGCACTCGTGAATACCTACACCCCTCCACATATTCTTAGCATATCCGGTTTCTCGACTCGTGCACAGCCACCACAACGAGTATCATCTTGCGACTCAGGGAGGTATGTACTTATGCTTTACCTGATATGACCTCCAAGTTTCAGGGTCTAACCCTTCGTAGTTAGTGAGAAGTCGACGGCCGGTGAAACGTTTTCTCCACATATTCTTAGCATACACGTGTTAAAATTGCGCCTCAAAATACCAACTTTTACTAGGGGAGTATATCTATAACTCCGCTCCTGATCTAATGCTATACATCAACAGAAAGAGAATCGTTCATAATGGTATCCCTCCATGTTTCACTCTCATATTTGGAGGCACTAGCCTGCTAGTGCGTCTTGAACTCCGACGGCTCCCTGCATGGCGGGTTTTACACCTTATTTCGGCGTTTTGGTGCTCATCAGCTGCTCTGCTCAGTTTTGAGCTCCTTGCCCTCATCTCAAGTTTAGGAGTTCCTCAAATAGCCCTTTCCCTTTCTGATACCTAATTGAGCCATTTTTAGGTTCTGCGCCTAGCATGAGGTCCTAGCCCTAAGGTCAAGTCATTTGGGTCCTTCGGGGGGTAAAACCCGACGAGATCAGCCCTGAAATCGATATTGAAGATCAAACTTCAGGATCGATCTTGGAAGCGTGTTCAGCGAATGCAGTCTCGAAATTTTTCGCGATCGACCCTAGGATTGCACATAATCGTTATTCAGGATCTGAATTTCAGGTAACGCGATCTTAAAATTTGATCCCGGGGTCGACTCCAGGCCAGTCGTAAAACTGGTCTACTGAACAGATATTTGATTCGACCAATCCTGGTATCGATCCTGAGTTTCAACATCTATTTATCGAACCCCCTGCGTGAGTTCACAGGGATACTTAATTTAAGGCACCTTAAATTTAGGAGCAAATTAAGGAGTTACTTTAGGTATACTCAAGAACTACTCAACTCATTTCACAACGTTTAGAAGCAACTTAAGGAGCTCCTTAACTTAAGCCGTACTTAAGTATTCCTAAACTTAAGGCGCCTTAACGTGCTTACTTAAGTAGTGAAATAGGATGTCCTAATTACTTAAGGTATATTAAAGGCATTACTTAAGTTTAAGGCGCAATTTGCTCCTATGAAACAGGCCCATAGGCCCAGTTGTTCACGCGTGCATATCAACAACTTTCGCGCGCGCCCGCACCCATTGACACATCCTCCACAGTCTCCCTGTCTCTAACGTGTGGCTGTTCCACAGTCCAACACACAATTACACTCTCGGCATACAGCCATATTCTTCCCCGTATCTTTCCTCGTCATGCTATCCCTTCACCAAGTACTGGCGCCGGTCAGTCTAGGCCTATCGCCCATCACGAGTGCTGCCAGACTTCTCTCAACCAGAGCAGGGGGAGTGCTTGCAAGCAGAGGTAGCAGCCTTTGGATCAGACTCTCTGACGCGTCGGTGTTGCTACATAGGTCGCCGTCCGTACTTCACACCTGCTCCAGTCCCTCAGATTTTCCCCAAGAATTTCGCCGCGTTCTCGACTGGTAAGCACTTCTCCTAAAGCTGCGGATAAATACTCATATTGATGGTTTTCGATGGGAATAAGACCGAACCGTTTCTGTAGATGTCGCCTCGTCTTCCACTCTCCCCCAAGCCCATCCGTCATCCACTGGAACTGTTCCTATAACCTCATTGCCCGGCACGAAGGCTGACAGCGCCTATGCTTTGGTATTCACGTGTAACAAATGCAACACCAGAAGTGCGAAGAAGATCTCCAAGGTAGGATACTCTCCCTGTACTGTCGTAAGGGTGCAACAAAAGAGAGATTTTTATTTTCAGCATTCCTATCACAATGGCATCGTTATTGTGCGATGCCCCGGTTGCGAGAAGCTACATCTAATCGCGGATCATTTCTGTTGGTTCGGAGGTAACTATGGTCGATCTCAGTGGTATACGCTCTCGCAGAATCGTAGGTGAATTTTCCCGCCGTTGTAGATCCTTTGCTAGTAATTCCTTCTTAATAAGGGATTAAAACTCTCAAGAGCTCGGATGATTAGAGGACTCTTACAGGAAGCAGTTGTGGTTTGCGGGAGTTTCACAACCCGTTTTACGTGAAGTGGCGTAAAACTCGGTGAAAACTCGATATTCGCGGCGCTGTGTAGTAGTCGTGAAATATATATTTCATATCACGGTCGTGAAACTTCGTTGTATCTAGTTTCTGTGCGACGATCAGATGAACCACAGACGATAGAGGACATCCTGAGAGAGAAGGGCGAGACCGTTGTGAAGGGCACCGTTGAGGACGCCACGAAGGCAGACCAAGCGGTAGTTGCTGCTGTAATCGCCGATGCTGTGGGAAAGAAGGAAGCTATTGAACTTAGAGAGGGAGAGGTGGGATGGAATTCATAACAATGGGGAAAATGATCATCCTAATGGGAACAAGACTGGGGGGGTGTCGAAAATTCAAAATGAGTTCCTCCTGAGAACACTGTAGGTATTGGTTATCGTCATCGTTAGGTTCTCCCTGATGTACAGATAGAAGGTCTTGATGCTGATAGTGTTAGAAAGCTCCAGCTTGAGATCATCAGAAAGCAACGAGAGCAGCAGAGTTTGTAGGATACGTTTTATCTTGCTTCGCTGTCCATATACCCTTGAGTACTTTTCTTATGTGTTTCTTACGTAGTATTCTTTATGCTGTATGCGGTTGGATCTTGTTATCTGAATTCGAGAGGCTAACTTCTTTGGGAGATGTGTACTACATAGTTGACCCCATGTGCTGGTGATAACATAGAAATTTCGAGGAAATTGTAGGAGTTTTTTTCGGTTTTTGTATACTCGAGTTCGCATATAAACTTCTACATAAGTGAGTACAGTTGAGGGAAGTGATATTTTTTCTCAGCAGTATACGGGAGAGTTAGACGGTGGTCTCGGGTTCAACTCCCCCCGACAGCATTTCTCCGAAGAGAATTACTAACAACAGCTTTACTCATTCTTCTATTATTTCATATGTTATCCTCTCCTTGCCGTCTTCTTGCAACGAGCAGTTCATCAGCGGTGATTCCTACCACTGCAATTCAAACAGCGACGCGCTTCTGCCGCGCACTGACCAACTGTATGTCCATTCACGACTGTTACCTTCAAGTCGTTATTCAGGTGGTTCTTTGAGAGGCACTGTACCCCTTACTCGTCTGCCCGGCGTTGCTAGCAAGAATTCATATAAGATAACATACACATGTAGAGATTGCTCAACTAAAGGAGCGTGGATGATTTCTAAGGTGGAGCCTATCGAGGTGTTAGAAGGCGGCGTTATTTGTTGTTAGCATTCGTATCATCACGGCATGGTTGCAGTACAGTGTCCGGGGTGTGGCGAGGCTCATCTGATCTCTGACACGCTGGGGTGCTTCGCGGGTAGGTGACAGTGGGGTGACGCTCGAAAATATGCACATGGTCGACTGCACGAGTTGGCAAAATTCTGGGAAAATTTGGCGGATTTTTTCGGTTTATGAAAACTTGTGCGCGAATAGGTGTATGAACTTCTTAAATCAGTGGGGGAACCCTTCTGAGCTCAGTAGCTGAGGAAAGCAATTATATATTCCTACTCCAACACTGTGTTCACTCCTGAGCTCAGTAGCTGAGGGAAAGCAAACATATATTTCTACTCCAACACTGTGTTCACTCCTGAGCTCAGTAGCTGAGGAAAGCAAACATATATTCCTACTCCAACACTGTGTTCACTCCTGAGCTCAGTAGCTGAGGAAAGCAAACATATATTCCTACTCCAACACTGTGTTCACTCCTGAGCTCAGTAGCTGAGGAAAGCAAACATATATTCCTACTCCAACACTGGCAGCACACATCATTATTTCTATCTCTATTATTATCTTTGCTACGGCTGAGAGTTGTGGGTGATGACGATAATTTTTTTTCACATGGTAGGGATCCCTCGTACGGACGCTCTGAGGATTCGCGAGAAGCTTGAGGATCTCATCAGTAGTAGTGCGACGATTTACTCGGACGTTCGTGGTCATCGTGAGGTAGTAGTGAGGGGGGAGGAGTTGGGGTGCTGTATACTACGCGCGAGTCCGTTTCATGTCACCGGTATAATTTTTCACCTAGGGTTGAGATGGAGCTGAAATTTCGAATATAGACTCTTCTAACACTTTCATATTATATAATTCGATCCATCACATATTTAGTCTACGACACGTAACTGTACAGCATTTTGAAACTGCGTCCTTCAAACTGTTAACTATCGGTGAAGGGTGGTCATGGGCTTAGGCACTTCCGGACATTCAAGTCGAAGGACTCGACGAACATGAGCTCAAGAGACTGCAGTTGCAGATTATTGAGGAAATGCAAGAAGAGCAAGATTAGACTTGGCGCTTGCCTACTGTGAATATCACGTTGCTGTGTTATATATTCTATTCCCACTGTCCATGTGTCCAGCTAGTATCGGCACCTGTTTCCTAATCTTGTGGAGAAAATTGTGTTAAAAATGTATCTGCCGGGGTTTGAACCTGTGCGCCTCTCAGTTGGTGATCAGCGACGCTTACGTACTGCCTTATTATTAATAACTATGTTGTCTGTTCGATCCGCCCTTGAGAGTGACGATAGCGCACAAATCACTGCAACTAGTCTGGTGAGAGAATATGCCCTTAGTTATGGAGGACGTAGGTCATCGTATAGGTCACTTTAGTGCTGTCGTGGGCAATCCAGCTCGCACTACCGCTGGTGGTCATTGCTGTTTACTTCATAGTAAGTTCAGAATGGATTGCGGATTCCCATGCAAACAGTAGAGTTTTTGTTAAAGATATCGGGCAAACGAGCTCCACAAGAAGAGCGCGTTGTCACTGCTGAGAGAGTCGATGTGGTAGAGGGGGGGAAGGTGGTAATACATGGGATCGGGGCGAGGGTGGGAATTGGGATTTCTCGAGGTACGGACGAGTAATGAATGTAGCGATGATAGGACTGGCTCATCGGATCATGATGATGATTCTGATGAGGGGGAGAGCGACTGCGATGAAACTCCCGATGGAAAAATGGGAAAATTTGATGTGGAGCTGTTCGCCGAGACAACTGTTATCGAGAGCAGCGAGTTCGATAGCACTGATGATCTACTGAGGAGAATCGGCGCGGGTGGTGATGACTCTGATGGCCAAGCAAAAGGGAATGTATATGAGCGGAGCGAAGTGAGAAATGATGCTCATTTTCGGAGTTTGATCACCGAAGGGTTTAAATAAAAAGTTCCTCGCATACCACACTTCTATCAGATCGCGATTTCGAGTGCAACGTCCCCGATAGTACATGACACATTCGGGAAGAACAACATCTGGAAGCCCGAGATCAACAACAACAACGGCAGCAGTAGCAGCTCGAGCTCTGATCGCGTCCATCCCGATGTTTCTAATTTATATTGGGATTACGCCTTGGCCATTGCTCCGCCAATAGCAACGATGACTACAGGTGAATATCTTAATTCTTCGCTGTGCGGTCTATGGTGTGGCATCTGGGTAGGTCGCGATGGGTCGTATCTCGGCACTTCACTGGATGAAGTCTTGGAGTTCAACAGACGATGTGAGTGGTTCTGCTGTGTACACAAGACGATATATGAGTATGTGATTAGGTGAGAGGGAGAGGCAATATGGTGGACTGGAGAGGACCAGACGACAGGGTGAGTAACCTGTAGGTCGCGGGTTCGAATCTTGGCAGGGGCGTTTTTCCGTGTCAGAAAATGAGTCTAACGTGGTTCAAGGCGTATCTACTGAAGCGAGGAACGATGCCGCCCGGCGTGCTCTCGAGCTGGCGATTGCGAGTTATCCTCGCGAAGTGAACGAAGCATTTTGAAAAGCGCTCGCCCTGTGATGAATTTTGGCTCAGGCGGGCTTCATCTGTCATCAGCTGCTGCAGAATTTAACTAATGAGAATGTTGTGATCCAGCCGGAGACGTGGGCCTTCTTCTATTGCAATTGTATGTGGATGTCGCTTGGCAGGTACGACCTTATGGTACGTGCAGCGGAGGTCTCGGGTCATCGGGAACTCACCAAGCTGTTATACGACACTGCGGGAAGTAGGACTATTGCGATAGATGCTAATGCATTGCGCTCTCTATCGCACTCTATTGTAGGGCGTCCTGATGATCAAAGCACTGGTGTGCGGTTATCCAGTGTGCCTCTGCCGAGCCCGCCAGTTGGGGCAGTGGGGAGCAGTCAGCTGAGGGTGAGCTTGGATGACGGCTGTGGGATTCGAACCGGCGATCATATTCCCTTGCAGCTCTACCCAGTGGTCAATCCAGCGGTCCCTGGACGGGGTGATCACCTCGCTCCAATGACCAGGTGAGGGTGCTCCAATTTTGTGGCGCGTGACAAATTTGGACATTTATAGGTCGCTCGATGCGCTATGTCAACAACAACGGACGTTTCAGTTAGCAGCGGTGGCGGCCGCTGCAGCATATCGTCAGCAAGAACAAGTAGGGCAGGTTCACTACGAGAGACTAGCCCGTGTTCTGTTTAGTATCAAATGTTTGCTGCGCCGAAGACTGTCGGTGCTCGGGGTGCGGGCGCCAATGTGAGCCTTCAGCGAAGTAGTGTATATGACTTCTCCCAGCAGGCCCCCTTTCCTCCTACTACGGCAGCACTTGAGCTCATGTATCAGCGACAACAGCAACAGCAGCAGTTCGTGATGATGTTGACGACGGGCGCCCAGCAACAGCCGAAGGAGGCTAACAACAATAACTCGACAACTAGAATGGTAGGTGGTGTGTTCTCGCGTTAACATCCGAGAGGTATCTGGTTCGATCCCCGCGGGTTGCTCAGGTGCCTAGCCGCGAGACGGACTCGAGAGTATAAAGTCAGAATGGTGGCACTAAAGCCAATACTAATTTTAATTTGACGAATTAATTTTTCCATGTATCGTATGTAGTTTGTGATGTTGTTGTGTCCTTTCTCATGATGTGTCTATACTTTAACAGCACTCACCAGCAGAATAACTAACACATGATGTTACCACCTAGACCTGCTGTTGTGTTCCGAAAGATCAATCTCTATAGGGGTCGATGTGCATGTGTATTGTTGAGAGAGTAATCATTATCACGTATGTAGTGATCATCGCTAACTCTTCAGCTTCGGTGTAGCTGAATGCCTTTATGCTCGTCAGGGTCACTTACGGTAAGTAGCTTGAAATTAGCTGTATCCCATTGCGGCCTCTATACCTTGGAGTGATCGATGGGCAGAGTCTGTCGAGTGATTGGGTATCATTTTCGAGGAAGTGTTGGAAAATATATTTGTTTTTCTTCAGTGGGTCTTCTCACTAATTATGGAAGTTTACACGTGAATTCGGGCAGAAGTGTACAAAGACCAACAAAATTCCCTCAGAATTTCCATATGGTCACCGACACAAGTATTCGACCATTTACATGTTTTCCCACACTGCTCCGTGTTAATTATTCCAACAGTTGTTGACTTATGGTGTTGTCAAGGCGCCGTCGTGTAGTCATCATCGTCGTCGTTTCCCTGGGGGCAGTCTTCCTTTTCTCGCAGTTCGGCTTGAACACTCTTCCTTATTCTGGGCAGCATCCCCATTCGCAGCCTTGGATACCTCAATTTCGAGAGAGTGAACTATTTCCTGATTCCAATAACACCGCTGTACTGGCTACTGAGCTTACTGATGCGAGAAGTGGCAGACCAAAGTGGATCGAATACGTTCGTCCGAGCTTATTAGAATCGGGCATGTGGACGTCGATCCAGTGCCTAGCTTGGCACAGGAACAGATCGTGTGCGTTCGATCACATATATTATGACGCTGAACTTGGCAGATTTGTTATCGCCCTACCTAGAAGTAACCTTGGTAACATAATGAAAGCGCCGTATGCTGGTGAGGGGTTGCCTATGGACGGCAACACGACGACCAGCGAGGTGGACACGGGCGTGCCGGCGAGTGAGAGCTCTCTGAGGGAACTAATCAGGGGGGCTGTAGCAGACGCCAAAGACCGAGAAGGCTTGCCGAGGTTCGAACCAGACATTCGGCTCTTCGAGGATGAATCAGAACTGCGGGAGTGGCGACGGAGCAAGCGTAGACCATCATTTCCTAATGCAATCGGTGACACTGAGCCTGAACTCGTTGCTGGTGTCACACTACATTTACTATTCTTCGGTCCAATGAATCCAGGCCATTTCCTCTACGACAGCCTCTACCCAGCCTACGTCACAGCAGTGCGCTTTGGTCACGCGTTTACTCCGATGAATATCCTCCCGATCGACGAAGGCAACACGACGGCTGCGAGAGAGATGCCTCATTGGTCTGTTCTCGAGCATTTCGGGCGTGGTCGGGTGATGCTGACATCGGACCTCACGTCGCCATTGTACTCTTTTTCGAGGCTTCTTGTTGGGTCCCGTTTTATGGGCCACCGTAACCCTCAGCGAAGCATGGCTATAGCAGGATCATATTCCTATGAGAATGCGCTTTTCTGGTTCGGCAAGAGGCTTCTAGCTGGCTTTGATATCGCACCGTGGCCGAGCTCGAACGTGAGAGTAGATGGGTACCATCCGACTTCTCAGGGTTGCCGAGGTGTTATTGTTGATAATAAGCGGTTCGACGCTGACACTAAGTCGATGCTTATGGAAATCGCCGCTGAGTCCAAGAGGCTATTCAGTTGCGATATTAGTTTTCTAAAATGGGAGGATTACACCTTCGAACAACAGTTGACGATAATCGCACGCTCTCATTTGTATGTCAGTTCCACAGGCACAGGTCTGACTAGGTGTCACTTGATAAAACCCGGCGGAGTTGTTGTACAACTAGGTGCGATGGAGTACGTCGGCCTCCCCTGGAGGTATCAGTGCTCTTATCGAGATGTCCATTTCGCTGTAGGCTCTCCACATTTGAACTCGGTGTACTATCCTCGACGTTTGTGGAACATCTATGGTCGTCTGCAACGTGAAGGTGTGATAGAGACCATTCGGAGAGGTGTCACCCTGTTGAGGAAAGGCTTCGAATTGCCGAGGCCATATGCTGAGGGCCTCTCACCCACTTCTGAGACCTGGGAACACTACTGCAGTATGAGCGATGATGACTGTAAAGAATTAGTTGATGTCCAAAATGGCAACTTCGAGCCGGGTGGGCATCGCTCCGACGACACCTACATTTGGAGTACTGTTCTTGGGTCGACTACTTCCAACTCTCCCCTGTGTGGTCGCCAGCAGGCTGTCGTGATGAACGCGGTCTAGTCATTCATTGCCCCCTAGACTTCCGACTCTACCGCTCTGTGATGGGCGCTGACCATGTGGCATTCGAGCCTCGATGTTACGAAGCGAGAATTGCCGAGATACAAGCGGGCAAGACAGAGCTGCTGACAGAAGCCGCTGCCAAGCTTAACGAGCGGCTCGAAGAGCTCTCAGCAGACGAGGCTGTGGCGGCCATGCTGATGGTGGATCCTCCGAACTGTCCATTTCCGGCTTCCAAAGAGTTGCCGGTTTGTGATTGTCCACTTTGAGGTCGACTGTTGTTGACTATTCATTGATGGGGACGATAACGCGAGGAGCAGTGTTGGTCCGGCCGTGGAAGCCCAAGCTGTAGGGGTAGACGTTGATGCGGATGATTGAGTTTTATATTTTCCCTCATTTCGGTGCATCTGTGTTGGACGGTCTGATAACACAACAGTAGTCGTCTCGTTTGCCAATTTCAATGACGGCAGAAATCTGTTCCACGGTTGAGTCTGTAAACCCTTTTACTCCTCCACCAGGATTTGTACGAGTACCTCCAAAGGCTAGCAGCAGCCTGATTACTCTCACTAAGAAGTATGACATCATTCTCGGTAAGCCCCCCATCGTGCCGTGTTGTAGCAGTCCGGCTGTTGTCTAGTGGTAGAATACAACGTTGTCAGCGTTGTGACCCGAGTTCAATTCTCGGATGATGCACTATGATTGGCCTTAGTCTTAGGAGGCATGAAAAACTACATTGTTGTGTTTATCATGGCTCCTAAGATCAAGGCCAATCAGAATCATTCCGGAACTTTCAGTGTTCCCGAGGGGAACTCATTTTGAATTTTCCGATTTTTCAATCAGTTTTCCATGTAAATGCCGTCACATTAGGAACATTCTCGCAATTGTTATCAAATCTTAAACCTGGATGGTTCCCAGAGTCGTACATATTTATCTTTTTACTAGAAAATAAGTTCCTTACTCGACTGACGATGATGCAACGTGGAATCTCCCAATAGGTTAGGCATATTTTCACAGTGTGAGTTCGAGTAGATACGGATCTCCTAGATTTGCTGATGTGACTCTCGGAGTTTCACCACCCGTTTTACGTGAAGTGGCGTAATACTCTGTGAAAAACGCAGTGATATTCGCGGTGGTATGCAGTAGTCCTGAAATATATTTTCCACTAGTGTTTTTCATATCACTAGAGTGAAACGTCATTGTACCTGAGAAAGTAGTCATTATTCATATTACTTTTCTGTTGCAGTATGGGAAAATTTCTCAGGAAGCAGTTCGAAATGGCGTCGGACGGTCCTGGAGGCCAGCGGTTGTCGGTGTGTGGACATCATAGCGCCAGAAGTCGATGAGAAGAGCATACGAGGCAGCTCTCCCTTGGTAGGGCCTCCTCTCTGCGTGGAGTCATCACGGCATGTGCTGTTGCTGACAGGAGACGACGTATAAGATCACCAAGGCGAAGGCGGATGCCATCATGGATGAGATTGGAGACAGCGGATGGACGGGGCTATTAGTGTGCTCGGACCAAGTAGGGTAGAGTATTGGAGTTTCACCACCCTAGTGATATGAAAAACACTAGTGAAAGACATATTTTACGACTACTGCATATCACCGCGAATATCGCGATGTTTTTCACCGAGTTTTACGCCACTTCACGTAAAACGGGTTGTGAGCGGCCCGCTGTAGTGAACCCGGCTAAAGTCTAATCTTGTCGCCTCTCGGAGCTTGCAACTCGTGCGAGAGCAAGACTCAAAAGTCATTCACGGTTGTAGGGGCAGTTTTTCCGTAACTATCATAGAATGAACTTGAGGTGATTTACTCCATGTCGGATCGTCTGTGTCGGACAGAAAGTAGCCTTAGGCTCTTACTAATATCAAGCCTGTACTAGGCAACTAATTTTCAGGTATCGCTCTGTGATGGTGAATGTCGGGAAAAACCAGTGGATGCTGCGGAAGCCCGGAGGTAGGCCCAGGGAGACTTCAAGTCTGTGTGAGAATGCATTTCAACTAAGCTCAATATGAAAATCCACACACTATTTCGGGTAGAAATGTACAGAAAACCAACGATCATTTTCAAAGGTTTTCTCAAAATTTCTACATTTTTACCAACACATGCTTTAGGTCATTCATATTTTTCACTCGATGCAGATTCATACGCTCCTATACGGACGATGGTCTGCCGGTCACAACGGTTTCCACGATGGTTGTCGTTGATATCGAGACAGGCAAGCGAGCATATGGGAATCACCAAGCTACTGTCAGGTAAGTTCTTGTTGGTCTTGTCTTTCTAACAAAGTCTCAATATCGAAATTTGCATCCTAATAGGATGTACACTAGTGTCACCATCAGAGGTGTGCTAGACGTAAAATCCCAGGCCTTGGGCGTATGTGTTCATGACGACGAGGGCGTCTATAGTTTTACACTGCAACTGTCTTCTTGCAGTAATAGCAGGCGTGCGGAAGAGGACACCATATCTTAGAAGGTGTACAGTTTACAACTCCTAGCGACACCCTTGTTCACTATCACGCTAGTGTAAATGCTATCGCAACGTGGGATACTCAAAACGCCGTTATAGTGTTCCATCGAGATCAGAGCATACGCGCTCGCCGCGGCAGCCAAGATCAATGCCGAGAACAAATTTACTCGTGACAACGATCATTATCATCAACCGAGTCACGCAGCATGTAACGAAAAATATACTCTTTTGGTTAATCTGTAGAACAGTCTACTATCACATATCTGTTATTATCATGTAGTTCCACCCGTTTTACGTGAAGTGGCGTAATTCTTAGTGAAAAATGCGATATTCGCGATGATATGCAGTGGTCGTGAAATATATTTTTCGTTATTGTTTCTCGAATGATATTGACTTCCGTAGATTCGCGCCCATTCCTCCTTCTGTGGTGGATCGGCTTGTTGAGCCCGGACATCCTATCTATACATGCTCTGGTGGATTCTCAATCGACGACCCTATCATGGGACAGGTAGGAATCTCCGTCACCCTCAACTACTTGTACATTTTCTCAGTACTGCATAAGTGTCGATGGAGGTGTGGACGCTGTTATGGGCATGCCGCTGGGCCTTCTAGAGAAGCTCATAGTAGAAGTCACCTCGGAAACCAATACTCAGTGAATCTATGCAAGGAAGTTTCGTGTTTGTGAAGGAGTTCAGTGTTGAGTGGTTTCACGTCACTGCAGTTGCAATGCGCTTCATATCGTCGCTTCCCCGACTCCAGGGAGTAAGTTCCTCCGTCTGTGGGCCGCTACTACTGCGGTGTCGAGTTGGACTTGAAAAAATCCTCGCTGGAGAGGTCGGTTCTTGTGGCGTTATAGTTCGAAACTCCCGGGGGTTTCTCCTGAGGAAGTCTGGCTGGGTCTGATCCTTGCATCGTGGTCAACTGCATGTGTTGGTGACAATATGAAAATAATGGGAAATTTCTTATTGGCTTTTGCGCACTTCTACTCTCGAATTCGCCTACAAAACATCTGTGCTCGGCTGAGGAAAGCAATGATATTTTCCCGACACCACTGTGGACAGAATTGCCCCGAGCAAGCGTCTTCAGATATGGGGTGCCTTTATCAGGTGCGTGCGTTATTAGCTTCACTAAGGAATAAAGAGAAGAAAAATAAAAGTGACCTTGTTGTCATATCGAACTCTGGAGAAGTCGAATGCCGTTCGCCAACTCTTGAGGCCGTCAATGTGTTGTCTCAAAAGTAGTAGGCATGACCAACGTCGCAGTCATTGACCAGGCTTTTAGATGTCGAGTGGCTCATAGCATTACACAGAGAGTAACAAGAGGCTCTAGCTCCGACTCACCCGCGTATTTCCCGTGTACTCACCTAAGCGACTTGATAGAGCACTTGGGCAGGCCGTCGCTATCCGAGGTGAGGGCTACTTTGAGCTACGGTGAATCTAACTCTGATGCTGTATATACTCAACCTCATAGTATCGTTTCTATTTGCGTACATGCATATTCATGCTATGTACTGAAAGCTCCCATGGTTAGTACTGGTTAATCAGGACCATCAATAACTGTGTGTAGTTTCTCTATAGGAGTTAAATTCCAATCTTGCTACTCACCGTATTAGGTTCTAAAGGGTGCCAATGCTTTCATTTCTCAAGTAGTTAGCGTCAACTCAAAGCTCGATGGAGGACCTCCTATAGTTCGGAAGCTCAACTCTGCATTGGAGTTATCGACCGAGGTAAGCATAGTTTCAGTCCAGGCCGGATATGTATCCACTCGCTACTGATCGAGCTAGTCGAGGATGGGGTTCCATGAATGGGCAATATTGATACGCTAGGAGTTTTAAATTGTACGCCTTCGAAGATATGGTGCCCTCTTTCGTACGCCTGCTATTACTGCGAGAATACAATTGCAGTGTAAAACTATAGACGCTCTCATCGTCATCAACACATATGCCTAAGGCTTGAGATTTTACGTCTAGTAACATCTCTGTGCGCAACATTGATGCTACAATCGACCCAATCGCTGATGCTAACTATTTTCTTGTTGGAGGCGTATGATACTCCAAGACTGTATCTGAGCTTTGTTGAAGTCTCAGCCCGAAACACTACTTGCTTAGCATGAAAAACAAAATTTCTAAATCTCCCTAGCAAGAAATACGCACCTATGAAATTTTCCGAGGATTTACTCCGGAGTTTTTTCTCCGAAGTGAAGGGCAGTAGGTTTCGTTGACCGAGCAGTAGTTCAATATTGGCAGGTCTCTGGTGGGTTGCCCTTAGTAATAAACATCACAGAAGACATGTGCTCTGTTGAGAGCGTAACACGGCAGCACTCAACAAGAAGGCCTTGGCTACAGGACGAACAGCGCACTGGTATTGTGGAGGATGATGGTAACCGCCGACAACCCAGCTGGAGCACCATCGCACCTGGGAAGTCTCCTATGCCCGCCCCGGTGGTAAGGCCGCAGCCTCAGCAGAAGATAACTCCGCCACCGACGTTAGCTGCTGCAGCTATTCTAAAGTAGGCTACAAAATCTCTCACCGAAATAGTACTGATAGGAAGCTTGGGAGTGTTGTTTCTATTCAGGACTAGTGTGCTATCACTTCTTTCCCGGACGTCTGTGAATCGGGCAAATGAAGGGCTCATAGTATGGGATCCATTTTGTGGCCACGGTCGGTTAGCAAGTATTTCAGCTCAGCTGCATATACGTGTGGGAATCGCGTCAGTTCAGCGCGGCGTGAAAAATTCTAATTGGTGAATCTGACTATGCAGAATTGCGCAATAAGACATGTTTGTTGTCTGTAAGATTACCAAAAATTATGCAGAGTCTGTTGACTGCATGGAGAACTGTAGACTTCATATGAGACGGGATACTGTAGTGTGTCTCCCTCCCTAGGCACTATGATGCTTGAGCTAGCCTCAGTGGTACTGGGAATACCCTTATCGGGAGGAGCGGCCGCTACAGCGACACCGCACTCGAACGCTCACAAGCTGCAGATAATTGCCACTGACCCCGTAGGGGAAAACGTCTCCGCAGCACTAGTGAATTTGAGGAAGTAAAGACTCCTTCTTTTGGTGTCGCACTTATGGCGTGTTCGATGTGAGCACGAGAGATTTTTCCAATGTTAGAAAGTCAGGTTTTCGACGTATTGCCAGCCGTGGTTTCGATACGGTTCTCGATCGGCCGATGGTGACTCAACAGCGTATCCACTCGGGCAGAAGATAAAACGAGACGCAATTCAGCACGACGAGGGCATTCGAGCTGCGCAGTAGTCATTTTTGATAACACCCATATGCAGTGTTGAAATGAATATTCGCTTTCCTCAGCTGGGTCCAGAAGTTTCCTCACTAGTTATAAAATTTAACATACGAACTCCGCTGTGTAGTGAAACCAATGAGAATTACCTCAATCTCCTCCAAATTTCAGCAAACGTCACCCACACATGTAGTTGAGCATGTGCATATTGCATTCAGCTTCCGCTGGTGTAGTGTATAAATCTTCAGTAAAAATAGAGCGATTTCAGGCCGGCCGAGGCGGGAGAAGAATTCAATCTCGCAAGACCGCTTGGATCCGACCCGAAGTCTTTTTCGACTGACGAAGATGCAACGTGGAATCTCCCAATACGTTTTTCAATAAATCAGGCATCTTTTCATAGCGTGAGTTCGAGTGAATACGGCATGATCAGATTTCACGAGTTTACCAGGTTCTCCCTCACATTCAAGGCCCCATGATAATAACTCATATACATTCACAGAGGTAGGCTATTCATTCACCTGGTTCCATGAGCATCTCCGTCGGAGATGCTCACTGCACGATTGCCAAGCTGGTGCTCTTTTTTCCGTCGATTTCTATCGTTCAACTCCGTACTTTTCCTTCCCAGCTCCTCCCATGAACTCTTCTCTCGGTTACTGTGGTTAATCTGATTGTGGACTTGATATTGGTTCGTAAATTCATCAAAGTGTCGATATCTCAATATTTAGGTTCGCGACTCATCAAGGGATCAGAATGTTTCAGTCATTCGGTCATCTGGTGGGCTCAAGGAACGATTGGACCGCCGTCTATGTTCTGACGGACTCCAAAGCTTTCCAGTGAGTCACCTTATATGCATCGATTCGGAGCAGATCTGCTCAAACGCCAAAAGTGTCACTCGACTCCTCGACGTTCATGCAAACAGTTTATGAATTAGCGCCATTTCAGAACGTATTCGCGTCTTGTGTGGGAGACTCAGCTGACGATACAGACATCCTCTGATAGTAAAATGAAGTTACTCCGATGGACCGGCCTCAAAAGAGGAGAAGCGGCGGCTACCGCTCCTGCCAGGAAGGCGCGATGAGACAACCATGCTGGGATATTCCTAGAATCAGCGTTTCTGGATGTCTAGTTTTTGAGTTACACCATGAGGGATGTCAAGGATTGACTAATTTTGAGTGATATAAGATTCTTCATGGCCTTATGAGTTGAGCGAGAGTTCGAATTTCTCGGGTGAAGTCGGCACTTCTTCAACTGACTGGGAAAGACATAAAGCGACGAGTCAGATCGAATAGCAGGATGAGGAGATATACAATAATTGAGATATACCCGATGCAGGATTCGAACCTACGACCATCTGCTCCGTAGGCAGACATTCTATCCAGCTGAACTAATCGGGCGTTGATGGTATTACTCTTCGCTAGGATTTAATTCACAAATCATTCAGGTGTTGTTCAGCTTGGCGATTGTACAAGCGTTCGGACTTTTTGGGGTTAGATAGTTCGCAATGTTCGGTGTGCTCTGTCTTATTCAGCCGCTCCCTAGCGGCCCGCTCGTATTGCCTCATTTCCCAACAAATAACACCCTATGGTTTGTAGGAAATGAATCCGTCAGGGACACTCTTCTGGGAAACTCAATTCTACTTCTCTTTCTTGCTTTCAGCTTTATCATCACTAGCCTCCTTTTCGACAGCGCGACCCTCCGCTGGAACATCAATTCGTCTTCTCTCCTTTTCAACCTCTATACGTCTCTTCACTTCGGCCTCGGCATCCGAATCAGACACACTCCTGTTAATCATAACCCTCCAAAAGCTCCATTGCGACAAGAACCTTCTTACGTGCATAAGAAGATCGCATAAGCAGCTATCGCCATTAACACAAACATCGAGCCAGAGAAGCATAGAGCGACAATGATGGGGTGATCCCTGACGAACTTGGATTGAATCTGAGATGATTACGTATGTTCCTGAACTCAACCATCATAGCTATAATAAAGTAGAAGGACTGAAGGCACCATTAGACCCGCCTAGACTCACCAATTTCTCCGCCTGGGCCCAAGCATGCTTCAAGCCACTGGGAGGTTGCGGCACATCCTACACAAGAATATACTCCTCAGGTATAGCGAGCGCGACGTACCATGGTCTCAGCGGCTTGAGCAATGTAAACCTCCGGGGAGCTGGCGAACTCGGAGAGGGCCTCCAACGTTCTCTGTCCACCGTACCGATACACCTTCCCATCATTTATCATATACAATGTAGGCAGCCTCTTAATGGTGAACCTGTGCAATGGTGGACTCGTTTGAAGCTGTCAAATAACACAGAACATGTGGTTAGATCGATACGATCTGGCATGGAAACTCCCATGTGTGGTCCTCGAAAAGTTCATCAACACCCTCTGATATTAGCGTCATTTTCTGGGAAGTTAGAATGTCGCGTAGTGAGGGAGAATATGCACATGGTCAACTACATGTAAAGAAAAATTCTGAGGAAATTTTCGGAAATTTTCGTTGGTTTCTGTATACTCGTACCCGAGTTTGTATATAACCCCATATGATTTGTGAAAAAACTCCCATCTCAGTTCAAGAGAGCGAACATATATTCCAACACTGATGTCGCGCGCCACAGAGAACCGAGTATTCTCACCTGGACCCAACCTCGGTATTCGCCGTGATGTCAACAGCAGCCACATTCACCTGCCCATACCTGCCAAACACGTCACTTAATTTTCTCCCAGTTCTGCACTCACATTTCATCAGCGAGATCTTCCCATGTCGGTAAGAGACGCTGGCAATGCCCACACCATGGAGCGTAGAACATGACGAACCACGGACCTGATTCCCGAACAGTATCTCTGACTTATAGTATATATTGAAGTTTCACGACCGTGATATGAAAAACACTAGTGGAAAACATATTTCACATTTCACTTCGCAAAAAAAAATCGCATGTGAGCAGTGAATATGGTGTAGAATACATGATGTATTTTACGTGATGTGGAATGATCTTTCCAAGTGATTTCAATTCACTTCATATCGCGTTTTTCACATAGAGTATCACACCACTTGAACAGATGAAAACTCCAATGTTACGAGAAGGAGTCCCATTAATGAGCAGTAACTGCGTAACCCACCAGTGGTGCTGCCAGTCGACGCCTGCGTGTCGTGCTCAAAGGTCTCGTCGGTCAATATCCTCAACTTGCTGCCTTGCCTGAACTCGTGAGCTTCGGCTAGGAGAGTCCCCACCAGCGCCAGAATCGGCAATACGAGACGCGTGATTGAAAACATCAGAAATACAAACAACTACCAAATCGCATTGTGGAACATCAACACATGGCTTGCGTGGACCTTGCTGAAGTGTCACGAAGCCGAACTGCTATCCTTGACGAGTAGCTTAGGGATTAGAAAAAGGAGTGGGAATGTTACTATGATGAGATGTATAATAAAGTTTCACCCTAGTGATATGAAAAACACTAATAAAAACATATTTCACAAACCACTGCATATCGCCGCGAATATCGGATTTTTCACTGAGTATTACGCCAGTGGCGTAACGCCACTCCACGTCGGACGGGTGAAACTCCAATGAGAATGTCTGTTCACATCGGTTGAGCCCTTCAATAGAAATACTAGTAAACCTCAGGTGCTATATTCAACTCGATAGAGCTCCCCTGGGTAGGCGAGAGAGACCTTGGCAGACGTTGATGAGAATCTACAGCGAAGTAGGGACACGCAACTACTCGGAACACAATACACGTTCAGTGTAGTGATTTTTTCATCCAACACTACACGCAAATCAATGTGACCAGATGTTGTTCATGTAAATTCGACATTTTCACATAAGGTTACAGAGCGTAACAGCAGACCTCCTTAAAGAGCATCCAGATCTCGCAGCTTAGCCTTGATGGTGCTTATTGCCAGCTCTACACAGGCGAGCCTAAACAACATGAAATCAAATCAAGCACCTATGTACTGTAGGCGCGGGTTCGATCCCCACGAGGGGTATTTTTTCCACTCGACAAACCAGTTTCGTATGGATGTAAAGCATTCCACACCTCAACACTCAGCTAGTATAATCAGACTCCTGGTGTTCTGATTAGGTCCCGGGTTCGATCCCGGCACTCGGTACCTCTGTTCCTTCTCCCTTTTATCAATCCTCTCATTCAGTGTTCGTCCAGCACTATTGGTCGGGTACTTATTGAGTGCGTTCTCAATAGCGTTACGTTCAGCATTGCAATGCATTAACTGTTGTTCCAATTGACGACATTGCTCCGTGAGCGATAGACTGGGCGATAAATTCCGAGCGAGGGAAGGATCGCGCACGATTATACCAGACCGTCCATCTATACTGCCAACAGTACCCTGAGAGAAACTTCAACTACAATCTAAGGATACTTATCACAATGATTCATATTCTTTAAAAATACAATCAAGAGCACTCAATCGGACTCGAGGGACATCACAGTCACACATCCTATCATAGCAGAGGAGAACAGATCAGTGACCCCCCACCTGTACCCCATCCATGTGGCTTGCCAAGCGTTTGCTCAATGAGGGCTTCCCGGCCGGTACCGCTCTCGCCGTTCCGCTCCTCGGTACGATGTACTCAGACGGTGTCGGACTCGTGTGTAAACTTCCATACCAACTTTTTCGCAATTCCTGAGCATCTACTCCAGATCCATGTTCAGCGCTGGTGTAGGGCAATCTCTCATGAGTAGCCCAGGGGGGAGCCGGCACAATGGGGGCTGTCCCTCGAAGGCTCGGCGATGATGGTACCGAGTAGGCTGCTGGTCTCGATGGTGAGCTAGTGGCGCTTTTCTGAGACAATGTTGGAGTAGGAATATATGTTTGCTTTCCTCAGCTACTGAGCTCAGGAGTGAACACAGTGTCGGAGTAGGAATATATGTTTGCTTTCCTCAGCTACTGAGCTCAGGAGTGAACTCAGTGTTGGAGTAGGAATATATGTTTGCTTTCCTCAGCTACTGAGCTCAGGAGTGAACTCAGTGTTGGAGTAGGAATATATGTTTGCTTTCCTCAGCTACTGAGCTCAGGAGTGAACTCAGTGTTGGAGTAGGAATATATGTTTTCTTTCCTCAGCTACTGAGCTCAGGAGTGAACTCAGTGTTGGAGTAGGAATATATGTTTGCTTTCCTCAGCTACTGAACTCAGGAGTGAACTCAGTGTTGGAGTAGGAATATATGTTTTCTTTCCTCAGCTACTGAGCTCAGGAGTGAACACAGTGTCGGAGTAGGAATATATGTTTGCTTTCCTCAGTTACTGAGCTCAGGAGTTTCTTCACTAATTGTAGAAGCATACATACGAATTTGGCTCGAAGTGTACAGAAACCAACAATAATTTCCCCAAAATTTTTATATTGTCACCAACACATGTAGTTCAACTACAGTACTCTGTGACAGTAGTTGGTCATGCGCATATTTTCCCCATATTGTTCTAAGGAATATTCTTCAGCGAAATATTCACCTCAGCCTTTCTAAGCTTTTCCTGCACTTCTGCCAACTGCGCTCTAAGTTCCTTAACTTCCTGCCGAAGTCGCGAGTTATCAGCCGTCAGCTCAACCAGCTGAAAATGACTGTAAAAACCGTCATACCAGGATTCGAACCCACTACCTTTCCCTCAGTATCCCCTCTCAATTTCTCCCACACCATTTCCTCCGCTCTGAAGCTCTCACATCGATCTTCTACCTCGTTTTCAAGCCTCTTAATAGCCGCCCTCAGAGACCTTTCCATCTCCTCCTTCTGATCAACTAGTATCCTTTCCCGGGAGGCAAAATCGGCCTCCAAATCGGAAATTTTGATGCGACATTCGTTGACAAGTTCTTCCTCTCGAGCACGAGCTTCTCCTAATAATCGTTTCTCGTTCTCTAACGAGGCCTTCAAGTTCGACACCTGAGATCTCCGTGATAAACTACGATAGTCTTGGAGGAATGTATGTTCGCTTTCCTCAGCTGAGACCAGAAGCGTTTCCACACTAATTATAGAAGTTTCTGGTAGAAATGTACAGAAACCGATGAGAATTTTCCTTGGAATTTTTATACATGTAGTCTACCATGTGCATATTATTTTCCCATCCTTCACTACAACCTCCCATGATAACAACATTGGAGTTTCACCCGTGATATGAAAAACACTACTGCAAACCGCGAATATCGCATTCCACCGAGTTTTACGCCACTCCACGTAAACCCGACTTGCGTCATCGAATCAAAATACGTTACCTTATAACTTATAACTATGATTACGAACTACGTATGAACTACTACTATCTCTAGCTCTGCAGCACCTTAGCATATTACTTCCCTATTTCTAACATTCCGCTCCGTCTCGCACTCATGTCGAAGTACACCAATCTCGTGCTCCTTTTCCTCAATAGCTCTTCTATGGCCTGCATGTTCTTGCCTGATCCAACGGAGTGCCCACAGGTAAACAGCGAACTACCTTATCCTCTCCATAGTGTCCATCATATTATCGTTTAATCGTCGTTCAAGATCAACATTTGAATTCTCAATCTCACCCAATCGGTTGACGTAACTGAACAGTGAGCTCACCTGTTCCGTTTCCTACATCGACAGTTTCACCAAAATATTCCAAAATCGCTCTCGAAAAGCAACTAGCATATCAAAAATGTGATTCCGATGTTCAGAGCGCAAAGTTGAAGCTCCCTACTAATGGCATCTATTCTCCAAGTCCCGGATGGTTGCGTGCAGACGTTGCCGCTCCTCCTCAAACGCCCGCCCGTTCATTCCCAACCACGCTCCAGTCGAGTGGGGAGGCGGCAGCCACGCCTGTCAGCAATCGAAAGACCCTGAGTTCAACCCCGCCGCCTGACATCATCTCACCGACTCTTGTGGCAGCGGTGGTGACACTGATGGTGACACTTCCCTTGAAGGACTATGAGGCCTCGAGGGCCGTAACCCTGGAGGGGAGTGCCTCAATGGTGCCAATCTGAACAACTCTCATAATCATCTCGCACGCATGCACACTGAACTACCTCTCAATATCACCCTCATGGAGTTGATGATCATCATAGGGCCTCTCCTGGACATGCCTAGGCGGCGAACCGCTACGTCTACGTACCCCACTAAGATGCGATGATGGATACGAGGACAGCTCCCCATGTAGAACATGCTGGTGCCCTTCTGGTCTATGCAGATGATTATCATCATTGTTATGATTAAATCGATCACGTGATCGATTTGATGGTGATGCCTTAATATGTCTCAACTCCCTCTGCAGCTCCTCAAGCCGCCTATCTAGCACCGCCTCCTCTTCCTCCACATCATCACCATCGTTAGGTCCATACCCACCATACGGAGGGATGTGATAATGCGTAGACGAGGACATTGGAGGGAGAAACTCGGCGCCATCAGCCATATGGCAATACGCTCTGTACATGTGTTGCAGAATATATTCGCTTTCCTCAGCTGAGCTCATAAGCTGCCTATGCACAACTTGGATTAGAACTCCCCAGAAATTCCTCAGAATTTCCCTATCGACACCAACACATGCAATTTTAGCCACTCTTGCGGAATAGTAGATACCCAACGCCAAGGACAGCCACTGTGCGGAAACTGTCAAATTATTACACAAACAGTAGCAGAGGAGACAATTATTGTGACAAGCATCAACCCCTCCTGCCAGGACCATTCTCCGTGCTAGCCTTCCGTTCCCTCTGCTGTATTATCTCATTCGCCAGCCAGTCCATGCCTTCAGCCAAGCCTTCTCCTGTTATAGCACAACACGCCTGTATGTGCCAAGAGTGCCCACGTATTGAGGTCAGGTCTAGATCTTTACCTGAACGATAACGCTTGCTTTACTTAGTAAGCAATATGCAAATGTGAAGAATGTGCATTTTCTATTCCGGGATTAATAACAGTGAACAACTTGTCGCTATCATAGTCTCGAAAGGTTACTTTTATCACATCACATGTTCATACCAATGTCTACATTGTTTATGCGATATAGTTTCAGATCGATTCTTATTAATCTCGGAAAATAACACACATTTGCATCATATCAAATTCACACACACCGTATAATCAGTGCCAGTATTCCTATATAAGTTCAACTTCTAGAGCCCTGAATATTTCAGCATCATACAAAGAGCCGAAACTCTAGTGCTGGCGACTTAACCACATGCATAGCGATAATCATTAAAGTACCATATAGAAATCTCATACACCCGCATGGGTTGAAGTAAGAGTTCACTGAATCACTGGATGATTTTCAGTAGGCGGTCTACTGCAAGCAAATATGATTCTAAGCGAAAACCCACACAGTCCGCCATTACGACCATCATTACGCCTCGGGAAATCATCCAGAAACCTATAATGTTCCAGTTACAGTTTCCCATGTACATGTCATCACATTAGGAACATCATTTTCCCTATTATTATCAAACCCATGGGTCCTTGCATACACCCACGGACCGAGTTCGGCGTTAACCCCAATACCCTGTAAATACACTACATATTTCCTCAGCAGTCTTCGCTCCCTGTATATCAGATTTATTGGCGAATACAAGTAAACTAGCTCCGTGCAGATCCTCTGACAGCAGTGCATTGAAGAGCTCCATTTTAGCGAGCACTAAGTTGCGAACATCATTGCTATCCACAACCTGAAAGTATCAAGTAAAAATGTTCAAGAATTTCCCAGAATTTCCCCATACTGCTCTGGAAGGAGGCTATCCGATTCACATAATCGACCAACCCTGATCGTTATTACAAATATGAGTCCGTCTGTATTTTGGAAGTACGCCGACCAACTAGGCCGGAGGCTATCCTGCCCACCTAGATCCCAAACCTGAGAAATGCGAAACAAAGCAGCTCGAATGATTGTTGTTATCTATATATCATTTCCCTAGCATATAATCACACTTCTTCTATGTGACACTCATGAGTACTACCTGAAATTTAACATTTTTATGCGTAACCTCTTCCACATTAGAGCCTATGGTGGGCTGAGTAACGACGACTTGCCCTAAGTTCAGCTGATACAGAATAGTGGTCTTTCCAGCGTTGCTAAGGCCGACTATGACTATTTTGGATTTCTCCTGACCACTACTGCCAGCAAGCCTCTGCCATATACTGGAGAAGAGAGCTCCCATAAATGAAGGAAAAAAAACAACTGTGCCTCAGCAGTAGAGTTTCACCATCCTAGTGATATGAAGGCTGAAAATTATAAGCGCACTGATGAATACGATTTGAATTTTTTTATTTTGAAGACATGAAAATTTGGAAGAAAATTACATTAATCCTTTATTTTACGGAAAGCCGACTTTGGAGTTTCATCCTAGTGATATGAAAAACACTAGTGAAAAATATATTCCACGACTTCTGCATATCAACGCGAATATCGCGTTTTTCACAAGAGTATTACGCCACTTCACGTAAAACGGGTTGCGAAACTCCAGTGTTGTTTTTGTGAAAGAATTCGTGTTTTTCATCCACTGTGTTTTATTCGTGGAAACAGAATTATGCCCGAAATCTGACGTGGTAGATTAATCAACGAGTCACACGTGAAACGTCCATCAACAGCCTCAACCAGTCAAACAGATGAACACAACCAAGGAGTTGTAAAGTGTACGCCTCCACAAAGATATGGTGTTCTCTTTCGTACGGCTCATGGAGTAACTACTCTTACTGCAAAAGTAGAATTACAGTCTAAGACTATAGACGGTTCTATTACTCGAAGCCTCTCACAAAACGCCCAAGGCGTAAAATTTTACGGCTAGCAACACCCTTGAACACAACCCGCAGGAACTGTAATTTCGTCCCACTTTGTTTGACACAATCGCATTCGATATGTATTCGAACTCGAGAAATGATTCTGTGTTTCCTATGATGACTACCATCTTAATGGAAAAAGGTAAGATAAACCCCAGTCTGAGTTTTCAACCACAAGCGAATATTTTCTCTGTGAAAAGAACGACTTCGTTTAGTAAAATCTTTGGTGAACACTCCAAATTTCCCTAGCCAGATAGATTCGATTCCGATAGACAGTATGAAATCGTACAGTAGCTAATCAGAAGCACTGTCGGGTTGGCTATGAAATACTCCACATGATGCCAGTTCAGCGGTTCTAGCCCGGTTGGTGGAAGATAGTTCTTAGTGTCGCCCACTTGACAGTGCTACACCGTTGAAAGCTCCCCGAGTGAGATCGAGGATCCATCAGAATCAGATGGATCTAAGGACCCGAATGTCAACTAAGGGATTATAGACCTTTGATACGTTAGCATCGTCGATGCTGTCATCGTCCACCTCAACTTACTTAATCATAATGCACTATTATTCTCATACACCATATGCGCTGCAACTGCTGTAGTCAAACTCATCGTGTGCAAACTCAGGTCTGCGAAATAGATATACAAGACCTATCATATTGACTTAAAATCTACACCCACTAATTTGAACCTGCGACCTGCTGGTTCCGAGCCACACTCCTTAACGCTTACGCTATTCACTCGATATTGTAATTTAACTTTATATAAAGCGCACGAATTCGTATTCGACACTACCATGTGTTTTCGCGCCCGCCACGGCAATAGTTACTCGCATAAATGTTATTGTGCATGATCCCTCATGGAGCTACGGAGTGAGCAGATAGCGAGTCTCTTCTAACGAGAGGAGATTGTCAGGGAATCAAATTTGGAAGTGATACCAGTTGAAGGTTGAATATGTTCAAATTGTCGTGTTCTTTAGCCTACAGTATGTAAATGCGAGTATCGACGATCACGCCGAATGATAGTGAACAACTTGTCGCTATAACAGCCTCGAAAGGTTACTTTTATCACATCACATGTTCATAGCAATGTTTACATTGTTTATTCGATATAGTTCGAAGTCGATTATCATTAATCTCGGAAAATAGTGTACATTTGCATCATATCAAATTGACACGCACTGCAGTGTCGTTTCAACTCAGCGATGTGATTCAATTCGCCCAGGTTTAATCGTTCATAGTACCCAGTTGATATCAACCAAGTTGGCGGGAAGTTGCCAGTGTGGCGGTATTCTCACCATTAAACTTCGTTCTGCTGTATCACACAACATGACATGGAATTCTTCGCATCACTGCGAACTCCTAGTGCTTATCTTCAGCCCTCTATCACAATGCCTTCCTGCGTCAGCCCATCAACCCCCACCGCGTATGGCCAAGTCTTTCGAACACCCGATACTAGAGCTACTACTCGCGACGGCAGCTCCCCTTCTACTGGATGCACTATGGGGAATACTGTTAAGCGGAGGAGAAGCCGACCGGATGGTAGTAGTAGTAGTAGTAGTAGTAGTAGTAGTAGTAGTAGTAGACCACTACTACTAGTAGTGGTAGTAGTAGACCACTACTACTAGTAGCGGTAGTAGTAGTGAACTCATGTGCGCACTGCAGTATGCAACTACTATCTACCACTGTTGGTTTAAATATATTGTGTACTACTGTGAATATATATGGACATGTATACCTCCGGCGCATACAAAATTTCATACTTCATATTATCTGGTATATGCAGTTCGATCCCTCCAACGTCTACTATGATTCCAGTCATTCTTTCTCTTCATAAACTCTTCTGGTGAATGTGAAACTTCAAGTTTGATACCACACCCTGTAAATTAATGAGCCAACTCCTGTGCACTTTCAGATGTCTTTTACTATGGTCGGCCTGATATCTACAGGGTAGTTAATTTTCGAACAACTGATCGATTATCTTCCTGCTCCATCATAGATAGACTCCATGCGTGGTAGTTCCTCGCACGGCAAGGCGAGTCAGCAGGGGATGGCTACCGAGTACGGTCGGAATATAGTGCAATATGGAAACGCTGGTTACTGGTTACACATATGGTGAGTAGTGGAATGACCAACTCTCTTTGCTGAGTTGTATTATTGGAGTTTCACAAGAGAGAGAGAGGTGGAAAACGCGACATTCGCGGTGATATGCAGTAGTCGTGAAATATATTTTTCACTAGTGTTTTTCATATCACTAGGGTGAAACTTTATTAATATTTTCGAGGTGGGTGGGTATAATCGTGCGTTAAAAAATCACATTTTTAAATTTCTTTTACAAATTCGTAGTACATACTCTCATATATCAGGCCTTTATGCGTTGCTTCCCACGTATTAATTCTGAACATCTCGCAACGCTTTTCAATGGAGTTTCACAACCCGTTTTACGTGAAGTGGCGTAAAACTTGGTGAAAAACTTTGCGATATTTTTCCCTAGGGTGAAAATCCATGTATTCCTAAACTTACATCGTGCGTAATTTTATCACGTTGTCGTGCAGTTACTTCACTGGTTTGTCGAATATGATTTTGCAAGGGGGCTTCAAGGCTGCTGCTACTCTGGAGGCTACGATTAACGGCGATCTCGCATTCTTGGGAAATGCAATCTTGTGATACACTGGGGCAATTTGATGATATTCATACAGTGTTGGAGTAGGAATATATGTTAGCTTTCCTCAGCTACTGAGCTCAGGAGTGAACACAGTGTTGGAGTAGGAATATATGTTTGCTTTCCTCAGCTACTGAGCTCAGGAGTGAACACAGTGTTGGAGTAGGAATATATGTTAGCTTTCCTCAGCTACTGAGCTCAGGAGTGAACACAGTGTTGGAGTAGGAATATATGTTAGCTTTCCTCAGCTACTGAGCTCAGGAGTGAACACAGTGTTGGAGTAGGAATATATGTTAGCTTTCCTCAGCTACTGAGCTCAGGAGTGAACACAGTGTTGGAGTAGGAATATATGTTTGCTTTCCTCAACTACTGAGCTCAGGAGTGAACACAGTGTTGGAGTAGGAATATATGTTTGCTTTCCTCAGCTACTGAGCTCAGGAGTGAACACAGTGTTGGAGTAGGAATATATGTTTGCTTCCCTCAGCTACTGAGCTCAGGAGTGAACACAGTGTTGGAGTAGGAATATATGTTTGCTTTCCTCAGCTACTGAGCTCAGGAGTGAACACAGTGTTGGAGTAGGAATATATGTATGCTTTCCTCAGCTACTGAGCTCAGGAGTGAACACAGTGTTGGAGTAGGAATATATGTTTGCTTCCCTCAGCTACTGAGCTCAGGAGTGAACACAGTGTTGGAGTAGGAATGTATGTTTGCTTCCCTCAGCTACTGAGCTCAGTAGTGAACACAGTGTTGGAGTAGGAATATATGTTTGCTTTCCTCAGCTACTGAGCTCAGGAGTGAACACAGTGTTGGAGTAGGAATATATGTTTGCTTTCCTCAGCTGAGCTCAAGAGTTTACATACAAAATCTAATAAATTGTTTTTGCAATTCGTCAGAGTTCCACCCGTTTTACGTGAAGTGGCGTAATACTCTGTGAAAAATCCAATATATGTTTTTACTGGTGTTTTTCATATCACGGAATATATTAAACTCTAACAAAATTCAGGATTTTCTGAAAATTCTCACATAGAAATGTACAGCAGCCAATATGGTGACAGCAAATGGTGACACGCTCGTCTCAGTTGGCGCGAGCCTCTGTTCTGGACAGTAGCTATGCTACCGTTGGCAGCCAGTTTTGTGTTCCTTATGATTCCACCGATACCTAGGAGTGATTTTATACCAGGTAGCCATATTATGTAGTTGCTGATTTTTGGTGGAATTAACATAAAACATAGGAAATATGCACATGGTCAACTATATGTGTGTTGGCGACAATAGAAAAATTCTGAGAAATTTTGGGAACTTTTCATCGGTTTCTGTACACTTCTAAGCAAAATCGTTTATAAACTCTTATAATTAGTGGAGAAACTCTCCTGAGCTCAGTAGCTGAGGAAAGCAAACATATATTTCGCCAACACTGGTGTTGCTTCGCGAATTTGAAACCTATAGAATAACGACCGCTACGTTGTGAGTTGAAAGCAAAGTAGTCACTCCAGCGTCGGAATATACGTTTGCTCTCCTCAGTTGAGGTCAGGAGGAAGTCCGTCACTTTTTCAATCTCAAATTCAGCAAATCGAAATCTGATTTCAATAGGGTAAAAGACGTTATTCACGGAATAAAAGTTTTTCGATTTTCGTAGACTACTCGAAAATGGAAGATCAAATTCGTAGATAAAATTTTATGAATTCCAAAACGCGCAAGTTCAAATTCGTCGACTAATTTCTATACCACCACATCTCGGTATTTACTATGCACACTAAACGAGTTGCGCCTTGAGACTCGAAGAGCAGTTGTCGTGTACACACGGACAAAAAGTTTCTATTAGAAACTCTCATAAATTTTCAGAAGTGTACAGAAATCAATGCGAATTTCCGTCGCTTTTTGTATCATCAGCAACATATGATTAATTTTTTGTATATATTTCCCCTCATACCGATATGATCAGGTACACCCCCACCGGATGTTTGTGTTTGGAAATCCATGAAGTTTATAGTTGCTGAGAAACTGTTCAGAAGATTGGCTCCCTCCGTTATTGTGAATGGCATGGTAAGCCGAACTCAATGATATTATTGGAGTTTCACAACCCGTTTTACGCGAAGTGGCGTAAAACTCGGTGTAAAACGCGATATTCGCGGTGATATGCAGTAGTCGTAAAATATGTTCTTCACTAGTGTTTATTTTTCATATCACTAGGGTGGAATTCCAATACTAGATTATATATACAAGTTATTATTGGAGTTTCAGCCGCTTTACGTGAAGTGGCGTCGTAAAACTCGGTGAAAAACGCGATATTCGCGGTGATATGCAGTAGTCGTAAAACATGTTCTTCACTAGTGTTAATCTTCAATACTAGATTATATCTACAAGTTATTATTAGATTTATTTATAGTATTAAACGCTACTATATCAGCTCATTGGACTGGCAAACGAGACAACAAATGGAATGGGTTCCAAATGCAATCGATTATATGGGTGCGCGCTATTTGTAACACTGATATTATATGATATGATATTAATGATATCATATAATACGATTTATTATATGATAATTATGTGAAATATGTTCTTCACTAGTGTTTCTTTAATATCACGGTCGTGAAACATCAATGATTATATATACAAGTTATTATTAGATATATTTACATTATTAGCGCTATTATTATCATATACATAGTATCATATAATAATTCCCTATATACTATTTAGTTTTATATTACCGTATCGAGGTTATACCGCCATGGACTGGACTCATTGTCATTAAGGTCTTAAGAAAATGCTAGCTTGAATAGCTTAGTAATCGGATCTATCTGATAATAGTGATGGCCATAGCTCGGCCCGAGCAAAAGCACGCGTGCCCATCAGAGTCGCACGCAAGTACGCTTAGATGGCTCGCACGACGGGCCTCAGAACACTGCCGACGAGCGATCATCCAGAATGCCATTCTGGAATGGTGCTGTCTCATTGATTAGTACTGACAAAGAGACGCTGAAACGTATGATATTCAGCGGGAAAAATACGACTATTTTTCCCGTATTTTCGGAAAAATACGGAAAAATACGACCCTTCTTCAGCAGGAGAAGTGATGATGTGAACCAACTACTAAACTGCTTCGACGAAATATAATGCGATCATCCTAAATGGTCCTGACGTACCATTACTACATTGATATTATCATTTATATGGCCACTGTTATCTCTGTGTGTGAATGGTTTTCACACTGAATTTGGTAGATTCTGGGGTTCCTATTCGGCGACTTTGGGAAGCTATTCGTATCACCTACTCTGGGCGTTGATTCTGTATACATCGTCAACGCCTCTTTCTTCTGTGCCTGCGCTATTGCTACTATTACGTGGGCGAAGTTGATACAATGGAATAAGATAACGCGGAGAGCGGTAGTAATAATCGTTCATATGAAGTGGGGAAAAGCGGAATTTTTCACTCGTCGAAAAACGCTGGTCGTATCCCCTACCCTGGGCGTTGATTCTGTGTACATCGTCAACGCCTCTTTCTTCTGTGCCTGTGCTATTGCTACCATAACGTGGGCGAAGCTGATACAATGGAATAAGATAACGCGGAGAGCGGTAGTAATAATCGCTCATATGAAGTGGGGAATAGCGGAATTTTTCACTCGTCGAAAAACGCTGGTCGTATCCCCTACCTAGTTGATTCTGTGTACATCGTCAACGCCTCTTTCTTCTGTGCCTGCGCTATTGCTACTATTACGTGGGCGAAGTTGATACAATGGAATAAGATAACGCGGAGAGTGGTAGTAATAATCGCTCATATGAAGTGGGGAAAAGCGGAATTTTTCACCCGTCGAAAAACGCTGGTCGTATCCCCTACCTAGTTGATTCTGTATACATCGTCAACGCCTCTTTCTTCTGTGCCTGCGCTATTGCTACTATAATGTGGGCGAAGCTGATACAATGGAATAAGATAACGCGGAGAGCGGTAGTAATAATCGCTCATATGAAGTGGGTAAAACGGAATTTTTCACTCGTCTAAAAACGCTGGTCGTATATCCAACCTAGTTGATTCTTTGTACATCGTCAACGCCTCTTTCTTCTGTGCATGGGCTTAACTCATACAATGGAATAAGATAACGCGGAGAGCGGTAATAATAATCCCTAATATGAAGTGGGGAAAAGCGGAATTTTTTACTCGTCGAAAAACGCTGGTCGTATATCCTACCCTGGGAGTTGATTCTGTGTACATCGTCAACGCTTCTTCCTTCTAGAGCGGTAATGATAATGAATGCTACACGTCGGTTTCATTGAGTGAGGGAAAAGCGGAATTTTTCACCCATCATAAAACGTTGAGATGCATCGCTGAGCATATTTATTATAATGGTAGGTAATACTGGTGAGCATGTTGGCACAGTGCGGCTTCCTGGTCCTCTATATTGTACTATACACTACTGGCATTGCTATCGCCACAAACTACATACAAGTGATAATTTCAATAACGAGGTGGTCGTAATCAAACTCAGGATCCGGAAGACCCCATATCGTGGAAAATGGTTCAGCAGCCAAAGCCCTATCATTACGTTATCATAATATCATCAGTGATAGTGTTGGCGATAGGGGACAGCGCATATGAGTCGCAGCTACCCGCGGCAGTGCAGAATGCGTATCAAGCCACTCCGTAGGTTTTAAAGTAGATTGTGTGAGGT